TCTAAAAGTTGGCTTAAGTGGGCGCCTACACACCTCAGATAATCAGAGAATGGATAAAGACAATCTGCTTTTTTTCGAAATCTAGGGATTTTGGATGTTAATTTTGAACAGATGGTGATATGCACAGCACGAATATGTAAAAAGAATACAGCAATTCACAAATAAGAATTTGCAAATACAAATATTAGGGTTTCAATATTCGACGAGAGGGTGGTCGTAGAAGAATAAGTCAATGCCGGAGGAAGGAGCGTTGGAGCAGCGGTCAGAGGCCGAGGGCGAGAGGGTTTCTGATTTTCAGATTTTTCTCCCTTACGATGGAGGCGATGGAGAGAAGAGACGCGATTGTACCTGGGTATGGAGAGAAGAGACGCGATGGTGGCGATGGAGGCGATGGAGGCCGTCGATTGAAACTCGCCGTCGATTGGAACTCGCCGGCCGTCGACAGGAGGAATCGATCGAGAGGATGGAGCGATCGACTTGGTTACGTTCTTCTTGCAGCCGGGTGGGAAAAAGGGTAATGAGGGAAATAGGGTTGTGTTCCACTTAGTTCCAGGGGGTAGGATGGAACACGCGTGTCCAAGGCTTATCCAAGTTAGTTCCACTTAGTCCAATATTAGGCCACACCAAACACAGGACAAATGTGTTCTGTCCTGTTCTGTCCCACCCTGTCCAGCTTACCAAACGCACCCTAAGAGAACCTGATATACATGTCATTTAAGAAAAAAAAAATGTTAGACTTAATGCCTAGTGAATCCAAACAATTTATAAAATAAAACAAGTAGTAATTGAAGATAACGTTGTATAAACTTGAACAAATTCCAAAGCTCACATAATTTCGAAAAGGACCACAAGGTCCAAAACAAATCTTACGAAGATGGGGGAGACCCGATTTACCATTGACATTGATGGGACATAAAAGTTTAATGAGAATCACTTACCGATTAACAATCGTTAAGATCAACCAATCCAGGTTTATAGTTTAATGAGTTAACAAGCTAAACTACTCAAAGTCTTTAACTTGTGGAGTCACCAAGTTCTACCACGTTAGGTTTATACCTTGGGATCTCAAAAATCCAAGTTAAGCTCCTTCACTTGGAAATTACATTATGTTGGTCAATGGCTGATGGCGGACTCCAAGAACCCATATTACATTATAGCACGTACTTGAAGATCTCATCATTTAATAACAAAAGGGTAAAAAAAACCCAAATCTCCCAAAATACCCAAAATACCCAAAATTGGTCAAAATCCACGAATATGTAAAATACATCAGTAGAAATGTCTTAGGAGACTAAATGAAGCATTTGGACATGTAAAAATGTATAGAAAAGTTAGAATGAACTAAAAAATGAGTTTTTGAGAAAACAAAAAGCCTAAAATATGATCAACAGTGGTGGAAAAGAGTGGAGAAGATGAAGATCTTGACTTTAAATCCACAAGTTTTGCATCCCTAGCATTAATATCTTAAATGCACCCTAAATCTCTCAATATAGTGACTTTAATACTTAAGGATCAAAGTTAAGATAAGGAGGGGAGAGTAGTTGTGAAATAAATGAGGGGGTATTAAACATCAAAGGGTCGTACGCAACCTGCTATACGTGACCCTAGGTTGTCCAGTTCCAACACTTTCTTGGCCTACTTTCTGCCTAAAATTTGTGAAAGGCTCAAGCCCATGCAACCAAAACCCTCATAAGCGTGAGCCATGTAATTCCAGTTTTTTTTGCCAATGCGATACCTAACTGATCCAACACTCACAACACTTTGTTAAGAATATTTTTAGACTAATATAAACCTTGAAATTATAGATACCAAAAATCCAGGTGTTATAATCCTCCCACCCTTGAAATTGGTTTTGTCCCCAAAACCCCAAACTGAAAAGAAATGTGAGGGTAACGCCTTTTCATATCCTCTTCTGCCTCCTATGTTATGTTAGAGTCATGGTGATGCTTCCATTGAACTTTGACCATCACGATTTCTTTACGGTGCAACATCTTCGACTTTCTTTCTAGAATCATTTTCGGCTCTTCAATGCAACAATTATTCTCATACAACGAATCTTCGAGAGGGGAATCACGCTTTCATCTTTTGCCAAAACATGTTCCTAAGTAACACACATGGAAAGTGTTGTCAATTCCAACCATCGCGAGTGGCAAATCCAATTTGTAGGCTTGGATCCCCACTTTACTCAAGATTGTGAACGGTTCAAGGCAACGAGAACTTAGCTTCCCACGCTTCTCAAACCATATGATACCTTTCTAAAAGGACACTTTTAACATCACATGTCGCCCACTTGGAATTTTATTGGCCTTCTTTTTTTGTCAACGTAACTCATTTGTCGATCTGGAGCTGCCTTCAAGCGTTCATGGACACCCTTCACTTTAATGACCGTTTCTTGGAAAATCTTAGGACTAGTGAATTGTTTCTTACCCGTTTCGAGCCGACACACCAGAGTCCTAAACTTCCATACATACAAGGATTCAAATGATGATATCCCAATACTAAAATGGTAACTGTTGTTGTAGGCAAAATTTACAAGAGGTAAGTGAGAGTCTCAATTCCCGCCAAAATTAATGATGCATGATATGAGAATGCCTTCGAGAGTTTGAATGGTATTATTTACTTTGGCCATTGGTTTGAGGATGGTAAGTTGTACTCAACTTCACCCTCATACCCAGCTCTTTTGCAAGTCATCCTAGAAATTGGAAGCGAAATGATTTTCTCTATCAAATACAATTCATAACAGTACCCCATACCTCGAGACAACTTCATCGATATACAAATTGGTGAAATTATCCGTCGACAAGGTTTCTCGCATTGCCAAGAAATGAGCACACTTTGTCAAATGGTCTACCACCACTTATATCGTATAGTGATTTCTTAAAGTATTCGACAACTTAGTCACAAAGTCCAATGTGATGTGTTCTCACTTTTATTCTAGGATCTCCAAGGATTGAAGGCTTCTGTATGGTCATTGGTGTTCCACTTTCACTTGCAAGAAAGTCACATACCTCTCTATGTAAATGGACACACCTTGCTTCATAACGGGCCACCAACAAATCAACTTTAAGTCTCTAAACATCTTGGTGCTCCCAGGATGAATAGAATTTGTGTGCGTCTTCTAGTAACAACTTTCGGTTGCCCCTGATTTTGGGTACCCAAATACGCCATCGGAATAACTTCAACTCTCTATCGTCTTCGGTTAAAAGCAAGCGTCGCTTCACCATTACTTCATTCTTGATGCTTTCTTCCAAAAGTGCTTCTTTTTTAGGATGCTTTGATTTGCTTTATTAGAGTTGACACCAAATCGCTTCTCGTAAGCATAGCTCGAATACCTCAACTGTACTCTTTTTGACTTAACGCATCTGCCACCACATTCACTTTACCCCGGTGGTAGTGCAATTCATAGTCATAGTCTTTGAATTTCCAGTCACCGACGCTGCCTTATATTCAACTCCTTTTGATTGAATACATACTTCAAACTCTTGTGGTCAATAAAAGTAGTGCACTTAGTGCCATAAAGATAGTGTCAACATAATTTCAAAGCAAAAACTACCATCGCTAATTCTTAGTCATAGGTAGGATAATTCCACTCATGTTTCTCGAGCCATCTCAATGCGTAGGGAATCACCTTGCCTCGTTGCAGAAGACACATCCCATGCACATCTTGGATGCACCACTATACACCACAAAGTCTTCAAACCTTTCCGGTAACGAAAGAATTGGAGTTTTACACAACGTATGAGGTGCAACGAGGAGAAGGGAAAACGGGGGCTAAATATACCAATAGGTGGCAGCGAGAAAGATTAAGGAACAAACTGGCGAGATGAGCGACATAAGAGACGCAAAGGGGGATCAATGGAGGAGCTATATAATGAAACTAAGATTACTTTGGAAATGCTAATAGAGATGATACATTTTTTTTTTCATTCACTTCATTGAAATTTGCTAATTATCTGTTGATACATCAAGAGAAATGTATATTTCTTTTGTATTATAAGGGCACTGATTTATTTGTTCAAAAAAATGTTTAGAAACTTAATTATTCAAAATATGAAAGTTCGTTGAATATTTTTTCTTCATTTTTTTTCATTATTTCATATGTTAATTAGTTTTATTTTCATCTTTATAGTTTTGAAATTTTAAGATGATCATCTTCATTTACAAAACATCCGGATTTAGTCGCTTCATCTAACGACCGTTAAAAATTTCCGTTAAATACGAGGTATTTTCGTTCTTTTATCCATTTTTGTCTTTTACGCAATCAAAAATCACATGATGAAAATCATAAAATCGATTTTGATTAGGTAAAAGACAGAGAGAAATCAATAAAAAACCAAAATACCCCTCATTTCAACAAATTTTTTTAACGACCATTTGAAAGAAGACTAAATTTGAACGTACTTACAAATCACAATAACCTTTTTATAATTTTAAAAATGTAGGGGTAAAAAGTGTTATTCTCAACAGACCACATGGACCAAATTTGTAATTTACTGAAATTTTTATCGGGACTTTTCCCGTTATACATACACACTACACACGCATAATCGCATGATCTTGGGAAGATTCGCATGATCGATTTATTTGTTCAAGATATAACAATCGTTTGATCAATCCAAGCCGCATCCTTTTCTTTCTCTCCATTCGCGTTACATGCAAGAGCAAGACTCTTCTGTTAAATATCATCGTAGATTTCAATGATTTGCCTCCATTTTCTTGATCTATCCCATCTTTGAACGCAAGGTTCCTGATATTCTCTTCATCGCGTCGTGTTTGTAGCCGAAATTGTAATTCGTTCCATTTGAAAATCATAGGGAGGGTGTTTTCAATCACACCCAGTTTTAACGTCCACGATTATTGATTGAATCATTCGAGTTTTCGTGTTTGTTCAACTGGGGTGCACATTTTTTGTTAGAAAGATGCGTGTTTCTTGGTGTTGCACAACACCTGTATTGATAAATTGCCGGACCCAAATCTGAATCTGCTTTGGGCCATCTCCAATGGCGGAAAACGATACGAAATACGAAGAGGAGAAAACTTCTGCTAATACGTTACGGAATACACCGTCGAATATAAGGAGGCTGGCGGATGAGATACAGCAGTGTGAGGGGCGACAGAAGTATCTTGCGCGGACCAGAAGCCCATCGGACGGAGGCGATATTAGGTGGTTCTTCCGTAAGGTTCCAATGGAGAAAAATGGTGAGTTCTTGATTGAAGGATCTTACTTTACATGGTGTTTGATGCTCTATGAAATTCTGGTCAAACATCTGTTAATTATTAGAAAGAAATTCTGTTGGGAAATTGGGTTTTGGCCAGTTATGTGATAAAAGCAGGGGGGGTTGAATGTGACCAGAAATTTCCATTTAACTGGAAGTGTAAGTTCTATATGACATGGTGATCATATGCTGATTGGAGGCATTCTGTAATTTTCCAGTATACCTCTATATCATTTTGGACATGATCATTTTTCTATCTTTTTAGAAAAATGAATTAAACCCATGTAACTCTGGAAGGGTAAGTTCGAATGCATCAATTTTTGCAAATGAATTGAACTCACAGAAACATTTGTTTTCATTGTCATATTGACTCCATATATGCTGCTTCCATTGCTTTTGTACAGAGGTAGCTGCTGTTGTCCCACGTGCAGAAATAGTAGAGAAGAGTGATTATTTTCGATTTGGTATGAGAGATTCTCTTGCAATAGAGGCATCATTCTTGCAGGTCATATCATCTGTGTTTGAAGCTATTAAAGTTGATCATTATATAACACCCATCCTTGGTTCTTTTAGCAAACTGTTGCTGTTGCTATTAAGTTGCCTTTATATTTTTATTACCAGAGTTATGAATGAATCATTATATATAGACATCTATACATGCACCAATTGTGAGGCCTTTACTGATGTACATATACAGCAAGAAGAGGAATTGCTCTCAATTTGGTGGAAAGAATACGCAGAATGTAGTGAAGGTCCAAAAGGGTCACCTGCTTCAACGAAGTCAGATCCGCTGCTAAAACCATTCCCCTTAGAAACTAATCAATCAGGCAAAGCATACTCAGATGAGGAAGAGAGAGTTGGTGTCCCTGTGAAAGGAGGCTTGTATGAGGTGTTGTCTCTTTTATCTTCTCTTTATGGTGTTTGATGACCTTTTATAGTTTTGGGCCTTTGGAGTAATCCAAGTTTAAGCAAGACAGTCATTTGAATGCTTACAATTTCACTATGTTTTATTCTGTCTTCTCCTATGTGAAAATATGGAGACACCTCCTTTCATACCCCCTACCTAAGGGATGATAACTGTCATCCCCGCGACTTGAGGCCCATCTCCAAGATCAACCTAGAGGCGACAAGGGACATCTTTAATCTTTGAAGGCTTATCTCTCCAAGTTACGACCCAACATGGGTCAGTAAAGAGGTACCCCAATTTAGCTGCTAGACTGACCTCAGTATGCAAACCTTTCCTAATATTATCATGCAAAATCATATTGTTTCCACACCAGTTCGTGGTTTCATTGTCTTACAATTCTTGGCTTGTGGTTTTGTACATTGCCATGTACTCCGACTACCATTTATGTTTCTAGTTCCTGCCAGTGATTTGTATCTTATAGCAGCTATTGTCTACGCCTAAAAAAATGTAGAAGCAGAAATTTGATATTCTTGGGCCCTCTTTCTACAAGATCTTTAAGATGAGTCGGTGATCTGGGTTATATATTCAATGGATTGATTGTGTCTTCTGCATTCCATCAATGTTAGAAATAAATTTTATTAATCTTCCACTCATTTGAGATTCTAAATAATTTGGAGGCACTGAGAGGTCTTCACACCGAAACATGGTTTATGTTTCAATATTTTATATTTATTGATGTATTTGTAAGAGCTGACAAATATCCAGGTCTTATAATTCTTACGTAAATATTTTGGTATCATCAGTTCTTTGTTAATTGCAGGTAGACTTGGTAAGGAGGCATTGTTTCCCTGTTTATTGGGATGGAGATAATCGCCGTGTCTTAAGAGGCCACTGGTTTGCTCGTAAAGGTGGTATTGATTGGCTTCCACTCCGTGAGGATGTTTCTGAACAGTTGGAGTTTGCTTATTGTGGCAGGGTATGTGACTCATAAACCATGAATGCTTCTCTAGTATAAGTGCATTTAGTTTTACTGTCTTCTTTTGGTTTTGTTATCTTGAGTTCATATTTCCTAGAATGAGATGATCACACTTACGTTCTTGTTGCTTTTATTTTTTGTTGTTTGATTCGGTTGGGTGTTTTTCCTAGGTTTGGCGTCGTAGGACATTTCAACCATCTGGTCTATTTGCAGCCCGAGTTGACATGCAAGGGTCTAGTCCGGTATGTTGGTATTTGATGCTAATTTAGTTTCCAGGGTCTTTGCCTGGTGCCGCCTTTTATATATTCATTTTGCTTCTTGCCTGCAGGGGCTGCATGCTCTTTTTACTGGAGAGGATGATACATGGGAGGCTTGGCTAAGTGTTGATGCATCTGGGTTCTCTAGCATTGTTAAGTTTGGGGGGACAGGCATTAAGTTAAGGCGTGGTTATGCTCCAGCTCATTCACCAAAACCAACACAGGTATACATCTATTGTTTCTAAAAATAAATGGCATTGTTCGACTTGTGATGCTAATTGAGGAAAGTCGACGACGTAAAATATTAAGATCGTAGTTTGTTTCAAATGTACCCCTGAACTGTTAAAGAGTGCAAGCGTTACAAATTTCAACTTCCACTCAACTCCAAATGGTTTGATCTTTCCTTCCTTTTCAAGATTCCTTAAATGAATAACAAGGTATACTAGTAAATTATGTAATCATTCCTCTAATTTGGAAAAGGGAATAGTTTTATTTTGTGACATCCCAAAAGGAGAGGACGCATTTTGGGATGGAGGTTGTAGCAAGTAGCTGTGAAACATGAAGAATCCCCTTTTCTATGTCAATGAAAGAGTAAATGAATCTTTAACATAAGATTCTCGAAGCTCAGGTTGTATTAGAATTATGACTCTTAACAACACAAATATATGACGAACTGATTTAGCTTGAAATCTTTGGAAGGAGTGTGGAGGTAGAGAGGAGATTGTAAAATTTGTAATTGGTTTATTGATAAGAATATCTACATTTTGCTCTGCCAGCATGCTAGTTTTCAGTATAAAAAATTGGTCACACAAACTTCACGGGTTATCAAGATCTTAAGAATATGAACCATATGGCAGTGTCGTGGCTTACTCAGTTACTTGTCTTTGGTATCTATTTCGCTCAAGCGACGGTTTTTCTAATTCATTGCTGAAAGGATCAAATTGATATCTTACCTAGTAAATTTTGTTGGTAGGATGAGTTACGTCAACAGAAGGAGGAAGATATAGATGATTACTGTTCAGAGGTAAAGCTATGACACATTTTTCGTTCATATGTTTGTACATATAACCGAGACTCTTGCTGTACAAACATTATTTCTGTGTTGCTGCAAGATTCGTTGCAGTCTCCTTGATATCTTTTTGATCGAGAAAGTATAAATAAACCCGAAATGGTTTTAATTTATTTTACATCAAATAGCATGTTGTAGCATTAACTTCAGTGTTTTGAAAACTGGAGATGAGTTTAAGTTGGTTAGTACAGCATGTGGCCTTTAGCTTAGTGTAAATGGAACTTGCTGAGCAGATCACAGGTGCACTCAGGCTAGAATATATTACTTATAAATAAATTCAACCCCTTATTCTTTTTTCATTCTATGTCAATGTCTCTCCTTGATGAATTAGGTGTTACTAGAAACAGGGAGATGGAAGCAGATTAAACTTTTTGCAAGATTTATATGTTTCCATGTCACCTAAGTTCATTAATGTCCGTGTCTTATTTACTGGTCGATTACATTGGCTGTTTTTATGATGTAAATATATTTTAATACTGATGAGGCTCCACTTATATGAAAGTTCTTGAAAGTCCACTATGTCTTCTTCGTCGTTATGTCAACACCACCATTAGTTGCTTGACATCCCTTCTTTCCTTTAAATTCATTACAGTGAACTTGCATAGTTTTATCTGCTTCATGTTAACTTGCATACATTAATGCTTTTAATCTTCCATTCTTATAGGTTCCAGTTCGGCATCTAGTGTTCATGGTTCATGGTATTGGTCAAAGATTGGAGAAAGCTAATTTAGTTGATGACGTTGGCACTTTCCGTCATATTACTGCTAGCCTTGCTGAACAACATCTAACATCCTACCAGCATAGAACACAAAGAGTTCTTTTCATTCCATGTCAGGTAGTGATTATGTTTAGGGGTTGACATATTCGTAATTTTTGTAAATGATTTTGCTATGGTGGTACTTGTTTAGAGGATTATCCTTGATGTGATTGACTGTACTGCCAGTGGAGGAAAAATTTAAAGCTTAGCGGCGAATCTGCTGTAGAAAAATGTACATTACCTGGTGTACGTGGATTGCGGGTAATGTTGAGTGCAACTGTTCACGATGTCTTATACTACATGAGCCCAATCTACTGCCAGGATATAATTGATTCGGTATGTTTATGTAAGATAAGCTCATCGTTCTATTCAGCCTTCTTGATTTTCTTCTTCACTTTGGTCATCATTTGGAAATTGATTAGCTTTGTGAATATACTTAATCAAGTAATTAGATTTGATGTTAAAAAAAATAGGGAAATTGTCCAAAATAGGCATTTTGCCCCCCCAATTCACTTTATAGCCGCTTTTCTACATAATTGATCGAAATGACCAAGATTTCACAAGTAGCACTTTAGCAACTTGTGAAAGCCACTTTTTATGAATATAATATTAATGAAGTAGCAAGTTGCTAAAGTGCTACTTGTGAAATGCTGACATGGAAGTTCCACTTACACAACTTGCTAAAGTGCTACTTGCCACGTCAGCGTTTAGCAAGTAGCACTTTAGCAACTTGCTAAAGTGTTACTTTATGAATATTAGATTCATAAAAAATAGATTTGACAAGTTGTTAAAGTGCTACTTGCGAATTCTTGGCTATTTTGGTCAATTTAGTAGGAAAACGGCTATAAAATGAATTGGGGAGTCCGAAACGGCTATTTTGGTCAATTTCCCTAAAAAATGATATGCAGTGGGATCTTTTGCTGAACGATACACTGGACTTTTGGGCAGGTTTCCAATCAATTAAATAAGTTGTATTTAAAGTTCCTTAAGAGGAATCCTGGTTATGATGGAAAGGTGAGTGGTTAGTGTGGATCATGCACTTATTTTGATTGAATTTCAAATATTTAAATTGATTAAGTTATTCTTATGGACTTTGAGGTCACAGGTTTCTTTATATGGTCATTCTTTGGGAAGTGTTCTCTCTTATGACATTCTTTGTCATCAAGAGACTTTGACCTCCCCATTTCCAATGGAATGGATGTACAAGGATCAGATTAACTATGAAACTTCTACACCAAATGACATGATGTCCTCTTCTCTGTGCAACGTCTCTTCCAATTCATTTGGAACGGATTTCAACGCAATTGTGGGTAGGGATATGGTAGCTTCCGCCCGGAAGAACATTCCAAGGGTCCAATCTGAATCTTCGCTTCCTGGATTGCGTGCTGCACAGTCCAACTCTATGCTCACTCCTCTAGTGTCAGCCATGGATGAAAATCCATCAGCAACTATGGATTCTAAGAAACATGATAGTTTCATTTTCGATCGAGTTGGTATTAGATTTGACCAGGGTTCAAGTGAAGTGCTGTCCGAGAAGGACAGCCGTTTGGATGACTGTACAGGCATGGATAGTGAAGTTTTAGCTAATGGCTCAAATCAAATCGATGAGGAAGTTTGTCAGCATGATGAAACTACCACAATCAAATCATTGAGGGAAGAGGTTTTAGGCTTCCCCTTTATGCAACCATTTTTAAGGGTTATCCACAAAAATAACCATTTTGGGTGAGGGTACCTCACAAAATGACCAACTCTTTCCAAATTAGCAGAAAATAGCCACACTTTTCAAAAAGCATGAGCAAAAACCCCACTTTTTTGAAAAATGCACTTTTTGACATATATTATTCGGTTTTGTGGGCCCATTTCATAGAAAGGGTGAACAAAACCCTCTTTTCTCATTGGGTTTTTGCTCACTGTCTTTGCAAATTGGCCCACAAAATAGAATAAAATATGCCAAAAAGTACACTTTGCAAAAATTGGGTTTTTGCTCATGTTCTTTTTGCAGAAAGTGTGGCTATTTTGTGCTAATTTGGAAAAATTTGGTCATTTTGTGATGGTTCAACTTCAATTATGGCTATTTTTGTGATCCTTTCTTTAATCCTAATTAATAGTACTTCCATTCTTCCAGATTGATTTTCTGAATGCCAGAATCAAGGAGCTAGAGTCGCATAAAGCTGAAGGTACAGTTAGAGGCTGCCTCAGCCTGATGGAATATGAATATTCGGTTTCAAATGATGTCTATATATGGTGTATCTTTTTGCCGCATATTGGTTCTTTAGAAGCTGATACATCCTACTCGTCTGCATTCCAAACAGGAGATAAGCATGAAGTTAGAACAACAAAAAATGCAAGCGGTTCCAAAGGTTCTTCATCTTGCAAACATGACACACTGAAGAGGTACAGGCCTCTAATAGAATACACAAAATTAGAGTTCAAGGTAATGTCCATGAATTTGTTGTCAACTTCTCCTTCAAATTAGATTGTTTGCTCAAAAAGCCTTGGACATATTTAACATCTGTATTCATGCCAGGTTGATACTTTCTTTGCGGTCGGGTCTCCTCTTGGGGTGTTTCTTGCTCTTCGCAATGTCCGTATGGGAATTGGTAAATTGTTGTTTATTCAATAAGTTGCCTATGTTATAAGTTCGGCCTTTTATGATCAATCTTTTAACTTTTACAAAACTAGGACGGGAAGGGAAACTTTTGTATAACTTGTATGCAGAAAAAGTGTGGGGCCAATTAACTCTTCTCGATATATCTTTTTTTTAAGGGAAGTAGTTAGTCATGTTGTTGATCGTACTCATGGACCTAGTTTGAATTTATATCTACATTTTCTTGGGTATTCGCAGGTTTCTCATTGCTTGTTATTATCTTTCCATTCAATCATTGACCAATATACAGTAGGCATTGTTATTTCGTATCTGGTTGCATATGTTGTAGAATCTCATATTTATATGAAATTTTAATTTTTCTAGGGAAAGGAAAAGACTACTGGGATGATGAAAATATAAATGAAGAGATGCCATCTTGTCGGCAAATGTTCAATATTTTTCATCCTTTTGATCCTGTGGCATATAGGTATCTCTGATCCCGTTGCTTCTTTACTAGTATGCCCGGCTTTTCCTCGTTGGCACTATTAGTTCATTTTCATCATGCATGTCTTCATCAGGGTTGATCTTAGTAGCAACAGAGGTGGATCCAGAAAAAATTTCCAAGCGGACCACAAAATAATTAGCATAATATAAAATAAAAGTGGTTCTTTTCTTCTTTTCTACAATTGTTACCAAAGAATTAGAAAAGAGAGCCAAGAGATTCAAACTTGCAACCTATAATACCAAAAGCAATGACAAACCACTTTTTTTTAACTGAAGGGAGCACACATCAGATTAAAGCCGATGCTCCTTTTAAGAATCCTAATTTTTTCCCACTACGTTGGCACTTGGCACGATAGAGCAGTAACACGGACACCCCCTCCCTCTTCCTTAAATCTGCTCTGGAGTAGCGATATAACCAGTTACATTTGACATTAACAATGAAATAAATTGGCTTTCCACAGAGTAGAACCACTTGTCTGTAAAGATCTTCGCAACACACGTCCAGTCATTATTCCTTATCATAGAGGTGGAAAGAGGCTGCATATCGGTTTGCAGGTAAGTCTTATTCAGTTGAACCACTTGTTGGTGTTAGCATTCACTAGGATACTGCTTATACATGATGGTGCAGGAATTCGTAGAAGATGTTGCATCAAGTTCTCAGGTGGTAATGGATCGTATGAGCTCAGTAAAGGTCTGTATTCTGTTTGATTGTCCTATAAATAATATACTATATTGTAGGTTTCACCGAGATTTCTTTAACTTTTTTTTTGAGTTATTTGAGTTCTCGAACCATTATACTTTGGATTTTTGTTACTATCACTTCATGGTTATTGGGAAATTCAAAAATAACACTACGTTTTGCAAAAATTCACAATCTTAGACGGAAAAGTACCAAGTAAGATGTTTTTTTCATCAAATGTACACAATTTGTCCAAAATAGTTCATCCGTGAAACTTGAAATTATGTTTCTTTGGTAATCTTTGCTAGAACGATGGTTAATCTACAACTAATTAGGGGTGCACGCGGTTTGGGTTGGGCGGTTTACAACACTTTTACAACCCAACCCAATTATGGCGGTGTGGAAAAATCTCAACCCAACCCAACCTAACCCATTCAAAAGTATAACCCAACCCTTGCGGGTTAAGGCAGGTTGGGTTGGGTTGGCGGGTTAGTAGTTACATAAATTTGACGAATAAAATAATTAAAAAAACTTAAGTTTATAGACCATACTATAAAGTTTCATATCTAAAAAAGTTACAATAGGTTTACATGACTTTTTTGGACGCTTCAACAAGTGTTTTAGAATGATATTTAAATAAAATGTCGTATTAGTTATTTTATATAAATATTTTGAGAAGTGTCCCTAAAACTCATCTATTTATAGGACGCCTATGTTCATATACACTTTTCAAGTCATGTCATATAAAATAACTAATATAATACTTTATTTTAAAAGCGGCACAGAATTTGTTAGGACGCCCAAAGTCATCCTATAAACATATTGTAACTCTTTTAGTAAAACATTTTTCTTGTTTCGTCCTATAAAGAATCATATTAGGATGCTTAGACATTTTAGGCATCCTATAAGATCTAATGTTGTTGTAGCGAAATGCTATAACTAAACATTTTATTTCCACTAAAATACAACATCAAATAGCGGGGTATTTAGATTGATGGATTCATCAACAAAATATCTATTAATATCATTCATATTCTTCGATATATCAATTTGTTGTTGTTGCAAAAAAGATTTCAATAATTTTCTCTTATTAATTAGATTGTTTGTCCTCATTCTTTGATCGTAAATCTCTTTTGGTAACCTATACGTTTAGCTAAAATAAAATACAAACATAATATCAATAAAGATTATACATAATAAACATACATATATATATATATAATTTTATAAAAATTATATATTAGCGGCGGGTTGGGCGGGTTGAGCTAGGCCCAACCCAATTTCAACCCCCCTAATTGGCGGGTTAGCGGTTTGGCGGGTGGGCGGTTAGGCGGGTTGGGTTTAATTGGGTTGTTAGTGGGTTGGGTTGGGCGGGTTTTACGGGTTGACGGTTTTTTGTGCACCCCTACAACTAATAGCGAAGTACAATTGTTCAAAATTCAATCACTTGTTATGTTGAGTGAATGTGTTACGATTAAAAGCATGAAGATTGTTGGTAGCTGGTCTGAGTCAACAATTTTAACTAAATTGGGTAGACACGAACCATCAAACCTATATATACGTGTGTGTGTGTGTATATATATAGAGAGAGAGAGGGAGGGAGGGAGGTTCAGGGGAAACCCCCCCAAAAAAATACAAACCGCGTAACACCATGGTAACCATTCATTTGGACGGTGTGCACATGTGCATACAAGTAATTGAAGTTGTTTCTTGGTTTTTATGCACGTATGCATACCGTCAAATTGCTTACAAGTTACTTGTATGCACATGTGCATACCATCCAGATGAACGATTACTAGATTGTTCCAGAGTTTATCATTTTGTTGTGGTTTTCTCCTGAACCTGACCTTATGTATTTAGGAACCTCTCCTCTCTCTCTCTCTCTATAAGGCTCTTCCCTGATGTTGCATTATGTTAGAAGATTAACCAATCTCCATACTCCTTATTTTGCTATTTTATGGTAAAAAGGCTTATGAAATGATCTTCACTGTCAAACCATTTTGTAGGGTAAAGTACTGGCACTATGCCAATCGAAGGACGGTGTTGGTATTGAAGGTACTAAAAGTGTACACATTTTTACCCTCTTTTTTTGTATAATTGTGCTGCTTGATGTCTTCATTTAGGCTCGCCTTGTTCATTTCTTGTGTTCTACCATGTATTGATACATATATACATATATATGTATATATTTATTGTTTAGCCTCAGCTGAGACATCAGAAAAGCCTGCAATAGTAGAGAGATCGTATGGTTCCATAATGCTGGAGAAGTTAACAGGGAGTGAAGATGGGCGAATCGATCATGTCCTTCAAGTATGTATTCTTGCTAATCTTTGAATAAAGCATTTTAAAAAATAAAACTGGATCTAGTGTCCTAGTTAATGGGGATTAAACAATCAGACAGATGAAACATTTGTTCACTTTACTTTCTTTAAATTGAATAATGCAGGACAAAACGTTTCAGCATCAATACATATCTGCTGTCGGAGCACATACGTAAGTATATATCAATCACGAAATACTTTATCTTTCCATTTCTTCCGAACAGCAGGACCACACCCAAAGGGATGAAGTTTTTGTCACGCCACCAACGATGCACCCTTGCTAATTTACTGTGAAACTAGGGATGTATTTTCAAATCTGCGTACATCAAAAAAAAGGATCCCACCTATGCGTCGTTTGTTTGTTTGGCTTAACTTTTAAAACCTTCAATTTGATAGCTTGGATGTGATGCAGAAATTACTGGAGAGACATGGATACTGCATTGTTCATATTGAAACATTTATATCAAGACATACCAGAAGAGCCTGAAATACCAGATGAACTCATGGAGAATGAAACAAACCAACCAACTCAAGATTTTCAAGGCTGGTATGATAATGAAGAGGCGGTCGAGGAAGACCTCCCTTTAACCTTCTCTAATTCAAGGTTCGTGAAAAAGTTCTCGAGGAGAGCCAAAAGCTTCATCGGCCGTGGCTGATTTTTCTTTATCGTTCTTGTATATATGCACGAAAACATCGTAGTTTGCAAAAATGAATGGTTTTGGACAGATTATCGAACTATGAGTGCCACTACACCATCATGCTAGGCACTTTTAGTCCAAAACTGTTCATTTAGGCGTAGCAGGGTGGCCGTGGCCGTGGCCGTGGCCGTGGTGGAGTCGATGTACATGAAATTTTTGTACAGTAGGTAATGATAATTTAATGAAATACACAGGATAGTACATGATTGGTTTTACTTGTCTGTTGAAAAGAACCATGTTATTTTTATCTTAAACAAGGTTTAACCATTTAATCAAATTGTACTAAAATTGATGGGCGAGGGTTGGGGGGGGGGGGGGGGGGGGGGAATTGATAAATATACCTTTTTTTTAACCGTGGTGTCTAGTCTAGCTTATACGCACCTCGAGTAATTTGAGAGGTCATGCAGCGAACCTAGGGGAGGATCTACATGTATTCCTATGGTATCACGTGTAACCATAGATTTGATTTGCATGAAGTATTAATCTTTTAAACTCTGTAACGGTAAAACCATAGATTTGGTTATGTACAATCATAAATATTGAAAGGATAAAGGTCTATATGTAAAATTTATAAAGATATTTATCTAGTGCAACCACTAGATCCACTTCAGCTCGAACTGATGACCTCAGAGGATGATCCACAAAAACCCGAGTCTTATAATTGTCAGTTGAACTGAGCCCACAGTTAAAATACACCTTACTCATGTGCCAATTGAGATCACAAGATTTGTTGGTTGTCTTTACAAATAACACGAGTCGATATTTTATCATCACAAGGATTTTGACAACGTCTGGATTCAGTTCAACTATACAACACAGCAACAATTAGGAATATATTTCCTATTAAAATAATGAATAGTTTTCTTTGCATGCCATTTTTTTGGTGGTCAGTTTCACCAACTCTGATCAATAATACAATATCATTTTATATTTTTATTCGCATACCAAAATCAAGCTTTCAATTTCAAGATCCTACTATGGTATAGAACAGTAGTACAACGAGCACCATAAGTTGTACCCTATTCAGTTTTCGCTTTTGATAGTAACATTTTGTTTGGGGTTTTGGATTGGCTCGAAATCTGGTGTGTGGTTCCCCTTTGTTTTCCACGATTCTTTCCTATATCTTCTCTGCAAATCTTGGCCCCATCTCACTTCCCCAATTCAAAAACGGAATCATATGCCCAAATAACCACCAAGTTTTCTTCATCTTCAATGGCGACTATATCAAGAATTGTTGCAAAAGATTGTAAATTTCAATCACGTGATGCTGTTCTTCAAAGACCCAGATATGATTTGCCCCCAAGAGGGATTCGAGACCATGTTTGTATGTATATTGATCTACTTTTATACTTATTTTCGAATTGGGTATTCTTTAGTTTGCTGCTCAAGTACATTGGCTACAACTTATATGATGAACACTTGTTCGAAATTTGGTGAAAATTTTCAGGTTTTAGAAGTGGGGTTGGTTCATCTGGTGATGTTAAAAGTTGTTTGGCTATTCAGAATAAGCGATTCTCTCCAGCAATTATTCAATCTTCAGCCTCCAGGTACTCTGTATATATATGTGTTTTATGGATTGTTTAATTAGGGGCAGTTTGGAAGGAGCTTAATAGGCTGTATAAGGGTTATGGGCATATTCTCTTGGCTATAAAAAGCTGTTCGGTTGTGCCTTATTCGTTCAGCCTATGGCTTAATCGGTCAGCTAGAAACCATCAGTCCTTTACAATACGATGTAAAATGTCTTAGAAGGGAGAATATAAGGGAGCTTTATGTAACATATAAGGGGCACAATTGGGAAAAGAAGCCCTACTAAGCTATCAAAAAGCTAGCTTATGACTTACCAAACAGGGCTTTTTAATGACCTCAAGAAATAAGCTAGCTTAGCTAAACACGGCCTAATACATTTGACACTTGGTAAGATTATTGATTACTTTAGTTAAGGAACCTGTTTTGGGCGAACATTCAGTTGATTAGCTAAAGATTGATGATGATCTTGTGAAGGAACACATAGATCAAAAGGTTTTAAATGGTGGTTTGAGCTTTTATCAAACATGCAAGTGATAAAACCAACAAAAATGAAAACCCCATTAGAATGGTTCAAGTCTAGTCAATGTGGGACTCTACTAGCCCCCCCCCCCCAAACGTAGGTAAACGGGCACAAATTTTTCCAGGGTGTTGAGAGGGGGGCTAGGCGGGTACAGATTGCCCTAGAGTCTCAAGTCCCTAGAGTGGTAGACCTTGGCTACCATGTGAGAATATGTGGAACTCCGTCAGATTACCCTCCAAAAGAGCCCTTGAGGGAAGAAGGGAGATTCTAACATAAATTGAGAAATGGTTCAAGTGTAGCTGACGTGAGACTCTTAACCAGGGATGGATCCAGAATTTTTTTCAAACGGTGGCACCTTTTGACTATAAGAAACAAATATAGGGATATTTTTCACAAAATCATCATTAGTCTGTTGGTTAGTTCATTGCTTTTCATATGTGAGGTGTTTGTTCAAGTCTTTTATTGCAAATTTTTTAGAAACACGATAAATCTGAAATTAAAAGTTGAAAACTAAGAAAAGGACACTAACATGATTTGAATTCGGGTCTGGGGTGGAAGAAAAGCCTTGCAAACAAACTCTACCAAGGAAAACTTGTGTTTTTAAGTTTCAAAATATATACGGTGGCACACAACAAATTAATACGGTGACACCTGTCACTACCCTAAATTTTTATACGACGAACAATACGGTGGCATGGGCCACCGTATGCCCTACATTGGGTCCGCACATGCTCTTAACAGTTTAATGGCGTGTTGTTTTTGGTTTTATCTATTTCTTCTTCCTATGCAAAGTTATCACACCCCATATAGTTCGGGAGATTATGCTATATTGGTGCTTTATCTACAACTTTATGCCGTTTGCAAACCAAAAAGGGTCTTAAACTTAATTAAATGTTTATCTCGCTTATTAAACGACCAAATTTGTATAATTTTATAATTAGGAGTTCGAAGATTCTGTGCCAAGCAGCAACAAATTTACCAGGAGATGTGCCTACCAATGCCAATACCGCTAGTGGAATGACAACATACGAAAGAACAATTGAAACGTTAACAACCCTTTTTCCTTTATGGGTATGTTTAAACAACGTGTTCATCGCAGTTCCACCATTTTACGCATTTCAAAGTGTAGTAATTCATTTATGATGCCATTAACAGGTTATTCTAGGTACAATCATTGGGATTTATAAGCCTTCTGCCGTAAGTATACCCTTTTGTGTGCATTTTTTTGCCTTCTCTAATTGATGGAAATTCACATGTGAATTGATTAGATCATTTGAGTCGTAATGCAGGTTACTTGGTTAGAAACAGATCTTTTCACCGTTGGCTTGGGTTTTCTTATGCTTTCTATGGGATTGACTTTAAAATTTGAGGACTTCAGACGTTGTTTACGGAATCCATGGACTGTATGCATCTCTTGCCATCTCCTTTTTTATTTTTCTTGATGTTACTGCTTTGTGACTAGAAGGTCATGGGTTTGAGTAAATAAACAACTGTCGTTAAATGCAAAGTCATAGGTTTGAGTTAGTACCTGTGAGTTTGGTATGCGGGATAGAACAGAACAAAAACTTGTCCTATGTTTGACATGACAATTAGACTGAGACATGACAAGACAGGACTGAGTAGGACAAAAATGCGTTTTTTTGGGTGGAAGAAAAGTAAGGGATATGGGACCAAATAAGTAAATTACTAAACTACCCATGTCAAGTTAAAACCTTAAAACCTTCCACAATTATTTCACCTGCATACCTCATGCCAGTCCTGTCTAGTCCAGTCTTGTCCACGTACCAAATACACCCTTACCCGGGGTCTTGGTGCATAAAGGTCGCCCCTTTTTTCTTTCATTTGTTTAAGTTCCTCTTCCTTTTTGCATATTAAGGATGAATATGTTTTTGGGTTAATCAGGTAGGTGTCGGGTTTCTTGCTCAGTACTTGATCAAACCCATCTTGGGATTCTTCATTGCAATGGTATGTGACTATGCCTACTAGTTTCTCATCATATCGTGTATCATTTCCTTTTCTGTTATGTTCGATATAAGAAATTAGTGTTTTCAAGAACAATCTTTATGAAAAAGATTTGACCTTAAAAAGTCAAAGTAACATATTTCTGAACACGAGTGAGTATAACTTTTGATCTACCAACATAAGGTTAGAAACGAAAGAAAAAGTTTCCAGCTTTTTTTTGAATAAATTGGCAACAAGAAGTAGAGGGATCTTGCCATTTTTCTTTTGCAAAAATGGAGCAAGAACCCGAGCTGTGCCCGTTACGTGGAAAAGTTTTACTGTTGTTTTTGGCTGTTTTATTGATGTAAAAACTTGAATTTTGTATCGACAGACTATGAAATTATCTGCTCCACTTGCAACCGGTTTGATTCTAGTTTCGTGTTGCCCAGGGGGCCAGGCTTCAAATGTGGCAACCTATATATCTAAAGGAAATGTAGCTCTCTCTGTTCTCATGACAACGTAAGCTTACCTTCTCTTGTTTACTCCAATACTTATGGTAGGGTTGTGGTTAGAGATGCACAAAAAGCCTGAAGCCCGTCCCAAAAAAGCTCGGGCCTAAAAACCCAATCGGGCCAAGTTTTTTCCTTTCAAATCCCGGCATGAAAAAGCTTGATCGGGTCCATTTTCACACAAAAATCCTGGTCCGGGCCTGAAAAGACCCAAGCTTTTCTTTTTAGCTAACTACAAACGGGCTTGGAAGGCCCAGACCCAAAAAAGCCCGAGCCATGTGCACCTCAAGTTGGGAATTCACAAATGCCACCGACCTTAACGAGCAATCTTTATGCTGATTTTTACAGGTGCTCAACTATCGGGGCTATTATAATGACACCACTTCTCACTAAACTTCTAGCCGGTCAACTTGTTCCGGTTGATGCAGCAGTAAGTGGTTGTATATGGGACTGTTAAAGATCTTAAGTTATAACGTTGCTTTCTGACTTCAACACCACCTTTTATCAATGAGAAATGAAATAAGACTCGGAGTTCAACACCTCTTAAAAAACAATCGACACGTAGGTTTGCCTGAACATGTTTCACGTTTTAAATCGTTTCAGGGCCTTGCCATCAGCACTTTTCAGGTTGTTCTGGTACCCACGATCCTCGGAGGTAATGTTTGTATCTATTTTCTCGAGGCTTCTTAACGAGTGTTTACCAACTCAAATATTTGGTTTTCTTGTCGCAGTGTTGTTGAATGAATTCTTCCCCAAATTCACGTCGAAAATCATTACTGTGACTCCATTGATCGGAGTTCTCCTTACAACTCTTCTTTGTGCTAGCCCGGTTAGTTCACCCATGCTCGATATCGCATTACAACAAAATCAGCTTTATAGGACGCCAAATATGTCTAAATATCATAATAGACTGCTTTATAGAACCAAACAACTGTGTTCTATGTAAAGGTGTTACAAGAAGTTGATAGAACAATTTTGGGCGTCTTAACAAGTTTTTTAGGATACTTTTGAAATAAAGTATCCTATCGTCCTAAAAAACTTGTTAGGAACCACAAGGGTGGTGCCTGATTGGTTTGAGTTTGGCTCCAAAGGTCAAAAGTACCAGGAGGTCCTAGGTTCAAATCCAAGGAGGAATAAAAATCCCCTTGTGACCACGGAGGTTCAAATGCGGTGACTCCGGGCTATCTGCAAAGCAGGTGGTCGTCTTGGGATTAGTCGGCTTGCATAGCGGGTTGGATATCCAGGTTAATAAAATAAAAAACTTGTTATCACGCTCGAAAACGTTCTATCAACTTTATTACAACACCTTTACATAGGACGCACAATTGTTCTGTCCTATAAACTTAAGGCCAATAAAGCAGTTTATTATGACATTTAGATATATTTGGCATTCTATTAAGCTCGTCTTGTTGTAGCTATAAATCCGACTAGGCTAAGAATCAACTCTCGCTCTCGTGTATAAATCTTTACTTGTTCGGGTTTTAGATTGGGCAAGTTGCGGATGTTTTGAAAACACAAGGCTTACAGTTGTTACTTCCGGTGGCTGCCCTCCATGGGGCAGCGTTCTTTATCGGTTACGCCATTTCTAAGTTATCGTTTGGTGAATCAACATCTCGTACCATCTCCATAGAATGCGGGATGCAGGTACTTTCTTTCGTCCATTTCACTTTGTGTTTTCAAAGATCATATAAATATTGCCATCTGTTGATCAATATATGTGCTTATCTCGATCTACACAGAGCTCCGCCCTCGGGTTTTTGCTTGCTCAAAAGCATTTCACAAACCCTCTCGTAGCCGTACCTTCTGCTGTAAGCGTCGTTTGCATGGCGGTATGAACCTTTTCTCTTTCCCGTAAACATTTTACGATGGTCGTAATATCCCAAATGCATATGAACGCTACAACAAATTTAGCTAAATATCCTAACAGACTGCTTTATGCGACTTACGTTTATATGGAACAAACAGTTCATATGTAAAGGTGTTGCAATAAGTTGATAAGACATTTTTTGGCGTCTTAATAGGTTTTTTTTATTACACTTTTGAAATAAAACATCTTATTAGTCTTTTTATACAACATTATTTTAGAAAATGTGTCATATAAAAATGTATATTTATCGGACGTTTCTTAGTTCTATAAAATAGCTAATAAGACATTTTACTTCAAAAATGTCCAAAAAACCTGTTATGATATCCAAATATGTCCTTAATACATGACGCACAACTGTTTGGTTAGGGGTTGTTTGTTTACCTTTTAATAGTTCCATTAAAAGGCAACCTCTGAATTGTTAAGAGGTGAATCTTGTTTGGCAAAAAAAGTCTGCCTCTTAATGGCTATAAAAACCTCCAAATGATTTTGTATCCTAAGTCTCCCTTAACCATTCAGCGCCCTAATTTCAATGTAAACAATTACTAAACAATTATATTTCATTTTGCACTATATCATAAGAGTCTCTTAATCATTTTGACCACTTAATAATTCAGCACCAAATCATTTAGCAACTGCCAAACAATCTGTTTATATATTAGACATATTTAACGTCTTATAAAACCGAATGCAGCTCGGTGGGAGTGCTTTAGCTGTGTATTGGAGGAACCAACCAATTCCTGTTGATGATAAAGATGATTTCAAGGAGTAAAAGCTTTTTGTTTTCTTATTAGTATTCTTTTTTTCATATAGGAAACAGTCGAACCCCGTGCAATAACGACTTGTACTGTGTGCAATAAAAGTTGTATATTGTTTCGGGTTCGACTGTTTTTTGTTATGGAAAACAAGCCTCAGTTAGTTTTTTGTTTCGTGTTGTAAGACTGTTGAGTAGGGATTTTGGTAGTCCATCTGATGCTCATCGTATCGTATTTGTATTAGACTGGTAAGTTATCGTGAGAAAGCGTTTTTTACACATATGATGATTGTGTAAGTTCGAAAATAGGTTTCTAAACAGACACTTGTTTTTTTCCCTCGTAGCAACCAAATGCGAGCAGGTTAATTTTAAATAGTAAGCGCTTACCGGGTAAGTGTTTGGTAAACGGCCCCAAGAGTCTTACTCGGTAAGTGAGAGTAACGACTCTTACCAAGGTCAGTGTTTACCGAGTGAATTGTTGTATATGATACTGTTTTCGTAAACTAAAATCTTACCCGATAAGTAAGTGATAGTGTTGAATTTTGTCGGTAAACACTTACTTAGATAAGCGTTTGGTAAACAGTTGTTTTACTTTAGAAAACTTGTTCTTTAGAAATTGAAATCTTGAAATTATGAAATGAGAATTTTATATGAAAAACTTTTAAAAAGCATTATTTTATAATTTATATTGGATTTTGTAAAATTAAGTTTATATATTGTAAATATTAAATGGAATGTATTATAAAGAGGTATGAGACTTAGGAGTCGTTTATAAAAAACTTACCCAATAAGTGCTTACTGGTAAAATTGACCACTATTACTTACTTACAGGGTAAGATCTAAGTCCACAAAAACGGCACCGTATGAAACAATTTACCCGATAAGCTTTTACCGTGGTAAGAGTCGTCGTTCTCACTTCCCGAGTAAGACTCTTGGTCCTTGTCTTACTCTTATCGGGTAAGATTCTTGGTCCTTGTTATTCATCCGGTAAGGTAATGTGACTTGATAACCGCTTACCCAGGTAAGTGTTTGGTAAACGATCCTTTAATTTCTGGATGATAATTTTCAATTTTCATGTCTAATCCACAGCCAAGTTGCGAAATAATTACGTATCTAAACCATGTAGATGAATAGAAGATCATGTAGTATAAATACCTCTTAAGTAAAAGTAAAAATCCCCTTGTGGCCACGAAGGTTCAAATGCGGTGACTTCGGGCTATCTGCCAAGCAGGTGGTTATCCTGAGACCTGAGATTAGTCAGCTCGCATAGCGAGTTGGATATCCAGATTAATCAAAAAATACATTTCAATATACTTGCATAAGTGTATTCAATCTCTCCAAGTATTCTCTCTTTTCTCATCATAAATCGTTAACGTTATTGGTAATTTAGTGATAACCATTGCTGATTTATAACACGTTATCAACACGAGAGTTCTAGTCAAGGTATATATTTCCTTATTACTATACGTTAAGAAGATAAAATACCAAAAATAATCAAGGTATGCAGACTTGTGATCGTGTGAGACCAGACTGTTTTCGTGAGACCACCTAAATAATACTAAACTTTCACAGCAAAACACAATGAAGGTAACCTTCACAGTGTTTTTGCTCTGAAGGTTCAGAGTTTTTTTTTACCTTCACAATATTTTACTGTGAAGTTTCAAGTGTTATTTTATGGTCTCAAGGGTCTCACGTAAACCCAACCCAGGTATGTATTTATTTTATTTATGTATATACTAACCTTTACTTATGCTTTTGGTGGACTGAAGTCTAATCCGGTAAATAAGTGGCAGTGTTAAATTTTATTACCAGGTAAGTGTTTGGTAAACGGTCCCTAAGTGATTGTAATATTTTATTAAACAAAATATAAATTACTTCGTTATTGAACTTAAATTAAATTATAATAAAAAATTTGAATTAAAAAATTACACAAAAAATAAGAATTTTAAATAGTTAATTTGACACTAATATCGATATATTTTTGTCAAATTTTTATGATATCTTCAAATTTTTGTTTTGTTCAAAAATAAAAATATCATCGCTTTTTCAAAATCACATAAGACCATATTATAATATCGACTGAAATAAATAATAAAATGAAATATTAAAATCAAAATGTATCTCGCTGCGTTGTGCGAGTATGCTTCTAGTATTAAATAAATCTCTATGACCATTAGCAAATGGAAACTTGTGCAAGTATATACTTATCAATTTATTGTCGTCTTTTACAAGTAATAAAATAATAAAATACCCAGTATCGATCCACATCAAAAGGCGTAAAAAGTTAAATTAAAAGTCTAGTAAAAGATATGATTTCAGATGACGATTTCGAAGAAATGTTTTTAAGTGGGTTTTCAACAACTACTTGATGAAAATAAATTTCATCAGTTTAAGAATTTTTTACACAATTAAATCTGATGATTCGTTGCAAATAACGTATCTAACCATTAGTTTTTCTAAAGGTAAAATTACGATGAATAAAAATGATGGTAAATTAAAAATTACGAGAAATGCAAAGTCTACACTAAGGGGTCGTTTATTAAACGCTTATCTGATATGTACTTACTGAGCAATTTTTCTTACCGAATGAACATGGCAAAGGGTAAAAATCTTACCTGGTAAGAGTGATGATAAGGATGAAGAGTTTTACCCGGTAAATGAGGGTGACGACTCTTACCCAGGTAAGCGCTTACCAGGTAAAATGTTGCATAAATACGTTTTGATGTACTACAATTTTACCCGGTAAAATAAATTATATTGTTGACTTCTAACGATAAGTGCTTACCGGGTAAGCATTTAGGTAAACGACCCCTAAAATAATTACAAGAATGTAATGGAATATATAACTCGTCGAATAATTAAAATGCAATAATGTAAAGACATAAATTAAAGTACGAGAAACAAATAAGACATAATACTGAAACAAAATAAAGGAGAAAAAATACTGAAATTTAAATATTCGTATATATATTCAGATAATGAAAGAAGAAAGAAAGTTCTCGAACATTATTTACTGAAATCTAGAACTTTCTCCAATGATTAGAGACAAAATGCCAAAGCATTCAATAGTTTGTAGGGAGTGTTAGGAAAATGATATTTATTTCTTTACAATCAAATACTGATAATTGATAAGGTGTTCGGTTAGAGATATTAAACAGTAATAAATGAGAATGAAAATAAAAGATTTTGTTTGGTTTTATATAATATAATGGGTTCATTCCCCCATAAGCCTAAATTTTCTTATCGAGGTTAAACCGGGAGGAATGAGAATTCATTCTCTGTCATTTTCATTTTCATTCATCTGCCTGAACCAAATTCCTCGTAAATCTTGAGATATGTTTTAAAAATATGAAGTACAAATATCAAATCAGTTACAAATAACAAGGATTATCATGGGAATAATACAGGTGATTTGAACTTTTTATGGCAAGTTTGATTTGACGAAATGTTTTCAGGGGATCTGAATTTTTGTGGAATGATTTGGAATTGGAAGGATTTAGAATCTTTGGTGCATTTTGTGTTGTAGGATTAAGAATGTAATTGAATGTTGTCCTTTTATAGATAATTTGTAAAAAACAAATTATAAATAACTAGAAGGGTATTCACACAATGCAGCGAAATACGTCTTGATTTTAATATTTCATTATTCTTTATCTCAAACGATGTTATAGTATGGTCTTATGTGATTTTGAAAAAGCGATAATGTTTTTGTTTTTTAATAAAATATAAACTTGAAGATATTATAAAAATTTGACAAAAATATATCGATATTAGTATCAAACTAGAAGGGTACTCGTGCAATGCACCGAAATATATCTCGATTTTAATGTTTAGCTTTTAGTTTTTGTCTTTATCGATATAATACGGTTTTATGGGGTTTTGAGAAAGCAATAATGTTTTTATCTTTCAATGAAATATAAATTTGAACATATCATAAAAAATTGAAAAAAATTATATGAATATTAATATCAAATTAACTATTTAATAATTCTCGGTTTTTTTGTTGTAATTTCTTTAATTCAAAATTTCTATTATAATATAATTTAGATTTAATAATAAAGTAATTTATTTTTAATTTAATAATATAATTTTTTATCAAAATAATAATTAAGCATTTTATTATAACTCAATGATTATTTTAATCATGTTTTAGATGTTATATATTTAAAATTAAATGTTTATTCTGTATTTTATTATATTTATCTGCAGTTAGTTACACGAATTTAAAAATAAAGCTTTAATAAATTATATTTACGCAAAATTTAATTATAATCTTGAATTTTAAGTAATATGCATTATTAAACAGTACTTCATATAAAAAAAATGGGTTTTAAAAGTTTTTATCAAATATTTTATAATATAGTATAGATTAACTATTTAAAATTCCTATTTTTTGTGTAATTTTTTAATTCAATTTTTTTTATTATAATTTAATTTAGGTTCAATAACGAAGTAATTTATATTTGGTTTAATAATATAATTTTCTTATAAAAATAATAATTAATTATTTTATTATAATATAATTTTCTTAAACATCTTATCCTTTCTGAACCCTGCTTTCAGCTTTCTAAGGGGGTGTTTGGGATTGCTTATAAAAACAACTTATTAATTTATTCTGATGTGGTACCGGTAATAAGCACTTTTGAGCAGGGACGGACCCAGAATGGCTTATGAAAACAACTTATTAATTTATTCTGCATTTTAATGGTTCTAAAACTCTCTGAATGATTTTGTATCATGGATTCCCTATAACCATTAAGAGCCATAATTTCATTGTATAAAATTATCAAACAATTATATTTCATCATACACTATATCATAAAAATATTTTAATCATTCTATGTCAAATCATTCAAACATTAAATGATACAGATATATTGTGAACCACACTATAAAGTTATTAGACTTTTTGATCTCCTGAATTGCACTAAATTGCAAAGGAGAAATGAAAAGGGTACTAATTATATAACCGTCTTGGGCCTTTGTTTGGAAAAAGCAAGTGTACTTCAAGTCAAAAAGAACCCTTTTTTAATTCACGATTCAAAACATTCTTCGTTTCATCCTTCTTTTTTTTCCTTCGCTTATTTCGACGTCTGTGTGGGTTTGTGCCCTCTCTGGGGTTTAACAATCATGTCTCAACCTCAACAACAACAACAGCAGCAGCAACAACAACAACCCATCATGGATGCTGATACAATGTAAGCATCTGAATCGATGATTCATTAATGGGGTTTCTCTTAAAAGATTCTGGATGATTGATGATTACTGGGGTTTTATGTTTTTAGATCGTTTCTTGATTCTAAATCGATGGATGGTTTCTTATACTCAAATGGGGGTTTCCCTTTTGCATTCTTGAATGTTTCTTTGACGTGTGATTATGATGGTGAATTTGAGGGTTTCTTGAACCTGCATTGAGCTTTGTATCTATTTGTTAGTATGTATATGTATATATATATATATATATATATGTATATGTGTATGTGTATATGTATGTGCATATGGAAATGTGTTTTTTTGAAACTTGTCGTTATGCAATAATATCTTTGTCCCAGAATGCAGAGATTTCTAGTAATCATTGTAAAAAAGATTATTGTTATCATGTTGGTATTTGAAATCACATTTATGGGATCAATGGAGAATGGATGAACTCATGAACATGGTGTAAACAAATGGGAACCAAATTGAAAAGTGTTCTATTAAAAAATAAGGGTAATAGGACGATTTACTTTTTGTGTCCCGTTGGTTGTCAAACTTCACCGATAAGACACACAGTTCTTGTAACAATTTATTGTAACGTCTTTAGATAAGACACACAGTTCTTGGTCCTATAAGCAGGTTGGGCATCCTAAAAGACCCATTTTGTTGTAGTGTTTGAACTAATGATTATATTGTTTTATTAGATTTGGGATTTTTTTCAAGATTTTTGAGCTGTTTTGTTGGAAGAACAGGTTGGATGTATACATTCTTGATTATCTTGCAAAGAGGAAATTTGTTGCTTCAAAAAAGGCATTTGAAGATGAAGCGAAAGTACCCATCAACGTTCGTGGTAAAAGAAGACAATCTTGTAACGGTTTATTTGATCAAATATCTTATTGTTGTTTAAACAATTTAAACTTGTTTTTCGGTTTTTGATCATTTCAGCGGTTGATGCTCCACGTGGTTTCCTCTTCGAATGGTGGACTGTCTTCTGGGATACTTTTATTTCTAGGTACAAACGTCACCAAGGCTCCGTGGAGCCTTGCAATGAGGTGAGCAGATGCTTGCATTTCGTCGGTTTAATTTGCATTCTGACATATTTATTCATAGATAAAAGCATACCCATTGACTTTGGAGATCGAATAGGATGATTCACAACTTCAAGATTTATAGATTCTTTGAATCTTTGGGAAAGTTTGGATGAGCATATTTGAATTATGAGTTTTTAGCAAAGTCTAGTTTGTAAATGTTGGTATTAATGTTAATATAAGTACATTTCAATATTGAATTTGAAAAGATGATGTGTTTGACTTTGCCTACCACTGACTGGTGCTTATTCAGTCAGCACAGTTGACTCAGTCAGCATCAGCTAGTTTACCAACACACTCAGACCCACAAATATTCTGACCTAGTAAGGAAGGATTTGGTCAGTGCTTCAGTCAGCGCTTACCCGGACACTTGGTAAACAACCATTTTCAGTCAGTGCTTACCCGGACTGCACTTGTACTAGGTTAGTGCTTACCCAATTCGTGTTGGTAAATGACCCTTACATTGAGTTTGATTACAGGCTATTAGAGTACCACAGCAACAGCAACAAGGAGGTCAACATCAAAGTCAAAGCATCAACGCGAACAATGCTATTACTGGGAAAAACCTTTGGATTGCCGATGCGCTGACCCCTATGAAGCAACCCGTTCCAAAGGTATTGAGTCGGATTTCAAATTTTCAGAAAGAGTTGCTTATAATAAATTTATCAAGACAACTTTGTTGTATTTCATATAGCAATGGTATGGAGACAATGTGGGCATAGTTATGAATCCCAATAATTCAATGAATCACCTGCAAATCGAACATCAGAAGCAAGCTTTGGCGCCCGTACATGTACGTATCTTTCGGTTATGAATCCCAATAATTCAATGAACCGAGATAAGTGCCCACATTTCTATTTTAATTTGTTTTGAAAGAAGTGTCCACTTTCAAAAGTAAGTGCTTACTTCCAACTCTACCCATAACTATGAGATGGAGAAATTCATTACTTCCCCTGTTATCAAGGGCAAAATGGTCATTTAGCTAATTAAAAAATGTAATAATTACATAATTCTATAAGTTTCAAGTCATGGGGTTTGAGTCATAGAAGCAGACCAAATAGTAGAGCGGTTGTTTATGTGAATCGCAGACTCTTTGCAAAATCAAGGAAATGTTGCATAAAAGGACTTTGGTCGCCCACCCCATAAAATAGAGGAGCCTTGGTGCACGAGAAACGCCCTTATTTGCAGTATTTGACGTATTATGTTATTTCTAAATGGTTTGAGTGCTTTCTTGGTGGATCAGGACATCAATAGTCTTGCAAGTTCCTTTATCAATCCAAGTGCTCAAGGTCCTGAGGGTTTGGCTGGTGGAGCTCATGGTAATCTTGAACTTAACTCCAAACCTCGTATATATGTAAAGCTCGTGAATACTTGCAAGGGCTTTTGAGTAATTTTACTAGTGTGTAAAATGAGGAACGTGAAGCGTTTTGGCACGCATGGGTTTTCATTCTTGATCTAAAAGACAGTAGAAAGTGTGATACTTTCAACTTTCAAGAACACGAATTGAAACTCAAACTGGATCATGGATCAAAATGCGAATTTTTTGTCTCTAATGGGGTCATTTCATGCGATTTTTACGCAAATTGAGCTCTATATAAGTGGATCATGATTCATTTGGTTGGATAAGTTGGTTCAAGAATCAGAACAAGATCCACTCTTTATGAATCTTGGATTCATAAGCATATCACTACTGAAGGGTATTTTAGGTATTTCATATGATCCATCGGTAAGCCTTGTTTAACCACCATCTTTTTCGTATTTCTGTGCAGCAACCGGAGTCTTAACAAATTTGCCTTTGAAGGGATGGCCATTAACGGTGCACTTGAAACTTAAGCTCAATTTGGTCTAATCTTTATAACATATACTCCCTCCGTTCCAAAATAAGTGTCCACGTTTCTACTTCAGTCTGTCCCAAAATAAGAGAAGTGCGCGTCTACTTTCCAATCTTACCCTTATTTGTGAGATGGAGAAATTCATTACTCTCACGACTATCAAGGTTAAATTGTCATTTAGCTAATTAAAAAGTGTAATATTTTGCACACTTCTAAAACCGTGGGCATTTATTTTGTGGACGGAGGGGGTAGTAAGATTAGTGGTGTGATTATGTTAACGGCACATCAACAGGGACTCGACCAAATTCAGACTCGACTTCAGCAGCAACAGGGTATTATGGTACAGCCGCCTCAACCATCCTTTCACCGTCAAATGGAGGGGAAAGTTCAGCCTCCGGTTGAAAGAAAGAGAAAACAGCCGTTGATGTCTCCAGGTGTTGCCAATAGCTCTGGAACTGCAAATGCTATCGGGGTATTCTCAAGTTCAGCAGGAGAAATGGTGTCGATGCCTAACTCTCCGCATAACGATAAGGTTCTTTTTATTTAACGTGTAAAATGTCTAAAATACCCTTCAGTCGAGAGAAACTAAATGGGACCTTGTAGACCAAAGTCATAGCTTATTTACTCTGTGGGATAGATGACAGGTCTGTGTACATCCCATCCAAGTGGGATGTGGGATGTATCCTACGCTCGTTTGGGTAGTAATATTATCAAATTGATTTGCAGATCAATATAGACGATTTCTTGAATTATGGAGCGTTGGATGGCAACGACAACTCCTTGTTATCTCATGCCGGTACTGAGCATGATGTAGACGCCTCGAATGGTATGTAGATGGTGATTCGAGGCCTCTTTGCTTAAACCATTTAATGTTTTCGTTTTGTGGGTCTAATTTATATGATGCGAGGATGATTAACACGCGATTTTATCTCCCGAAGAAACGAAGTTAAATACCTCATTTGCATTTCTTTTATCTTTTTTGTCGTAAAGGTTTCACGTTTTTGGAAGTTGGAAGCGTTCAAGCAACTAGTGTCAGTTGTTGTCAGATCTCATCCGATGGGAAATTGGTTGCGATCGGCGGACAAGACAAAAAGGCGAGTTACCATCGCTTGAAATGCTTATTGAACATGATAACGATGGCGTAGGCTAAAAACACGAGCTTTCTTAATAACGTTGTGATGCAGGCTAGTTTGTGGTGCACAAACTCGCGAGAAATTAAAGCTACGTTTGATGGACACTCGCAAGCGATAACCGATATTCGTTTTAGTCCATCCATGCTACGGATTGCTACATCTTCTCTCGACAAGACTGTCCGTATTTGGGACATTGAAAATGTACATCAATTGCTTCTTAACTTAACTTCCGTTTTTCACATAACGTAAACCCAACCAAATAATCCCAGTAAATCCCGGGGGATTTACTGGGCCGGTTTGGTTTGGTTTGGTTCGGTTTTCAGATAATGTATGATTGAATTAGTTATGGTATGCAGCCGGGATGTGCGGTTAGGACATTCACAGGACACACTACGTCTGTTATGTCGATTGATTTTCACCCCAAAAAGGACCTTATTTGTTCGTGTGACGAGAATGAGATTCGTTACTGGGCCATCAAGAATGCCGGTTGTGTTAAAGTGGCCAAGGTTTGAAAAACAGCGATCGATTCTGTTTTTTTGTTTGTTTTAAGGGTGTTTTTTGGGAGTTTTAATGTCGTTCTTAACGTTGTTTGTTTTTCAGGGCGGTGCAAACTTGGTTAGATTTCAATCCGGTGTCGCGAAGCATATTGCAGTCGTTGTTGGAAAGACTGTATCTATAATGGATATGGATTTTTCTCAACCTCGTAAGCATGTCCTAAAGGTCCGTAGTTAGTTTTTCTCTCCGCCTGTAGAAATTTAGGCAGACGAGACAAGATTGGTAAATTACTAAACTACCCATGTTAAATTAAAACCTTAAAACCTTCCACAATTCTTTCACCCGTCTACCTCGCTCTCGTACCAAACGCACCCTAATGGTTCACATGTTTTGTGTGTAATATGTTGTGAATTAAATGATGTAGGGGCATGCATCGAATGTGCAGTCGATATGTTGGGATTCTTCGGGTGAGCGTCTGATATCAGTGAGCGAAGATTTGGTAAAAGTGTGGAGAGTGGATTCCATGGGGAAAGCGAATTGCGTTCACGAGTTAAGTGTCACTGGAAAGAGATTCCGTTGTGGGATTTTCCATCCGTGCTATCCTTCTCTACTCGTAATCGGGTGCTATCAGGTAAAAGATCACACTTTTTCAAGATTTTGAAGTCGATGCCCGTGTTGGCAATCGTGTTCCTTTTTTCTGCATTTCCGCATTACAATGACCTCTGATAGCGGTTCTCGGAGGTAACAGATTAAGTGCTGATTCGGGTAAGATTCATTTTTTTGGCTGACTCCGGTAAGAGGACGGTCAGAGGCATGAAATCTGATTGCTGATTTTGCTGTTAAGTAAACACTTTTACCTCTTACCCAGGTAAGCATCTCTTAACGGGTAAGAGGCGGTAAGAGATTAGTAAACAGGGCCTAAGTGTAAGAACTTGTAAATAACGAAAAAGTATTCGGTATAATGGAAATTTACCAATTTACCCCTATGAAGTATAAACTATTGGTTTGGTATAAGGATTGTTTCTAATTGTATTGATTGTTGTGGATGTTTAGAGTATGGAGTTATGGAACATGGCAGAGAACAAGATGATGATGCCGATCGAAGAACCTGTTTCTGCGCTTGCTGTATCGACTACGTCTGGTTTGATAGCTTCGGCCGGTCACAATGATAACGTTGTTAAGCTTTGGAAGTAGTTTACACGTCTAATGGTATTTTTCTATTCGGCCTACGAGATTTTTGATGCAATAAGTCATCGCGATGTTTTACCTGAAAGGAACAGGTTAGGGAACGGTTTTCTTCGATGTATATACATAGGTTTCGTCGTTACATCTTGGATCTTTACGGTTAATCGAAGCTTTCTGTTGCGTAAAATACTCGAGTAAACTTCACTTTTGGTCCCTGTGGTTTCATCGAAAAGCTGAAAATCGTCCTTGTGTTTCAACAAGTATAGAAATAGTCGCTAGAGTATGCATTTACCAACACTTTCTTAATAACTTAATGAGCTTAATGGAACTTAGCTTATTCGGTCACTATATATGAAGTTTTCAACGGGGAAGCTTCATGCTGAAAGCAAACTTCTTTTTTTTTCCAAATTTACCCCTCCTATTAAAAAACAAGTTTATTCCATATATGAAAAAGCTTGTCAAACTAAAATCTTCTTAATCTATCTAGATAACTTTATTCATACACAACTTAACACAACTTAACAGGAAATCAATTAAACAACCTCTAACTGAGGGACTTTTGAATGCACCATCCCCTCATGTGAGGGGCATTTTGGACATTTTGCATGTTTTTGAATGTACAAGAATTTAAAGCACATAAATACTATTTCAAAGTATATGATATTTTTATATACGAGAAATACTAGCACATAATTTTCACCTTTATTGAGGTTTGAACCCTTGTCTTTCCGGGGGGTTGGACTTTATAGGTCATCTAGATATTGTTGGGCCAACGACCCCCTAGGAGGTTGGGTTTCATAGGTAACCTGGATATTGTTGGGCCAATGACTTTATTATAAGCTAGACACTTATTTTAGAACGAACTGAAAAAAAATATAAACATTAATTATGGGACGGCGGGAATATCTTGTAAACCTTTGACGTAAAAGGGTATAAACTTATGAATTTGCCGTACCATTTTACATGCGAATGCGACCGTAGTTATTATCATTATTTTTTGGACAAAAAAGAAAAGAATAAAATCTTAACATGCTGCTCTCTACAACATTCTCTATATGTAACAAATTTAAGAGTGTTTTAGATACCTTTAACTAGCATGAGGTGTTTTCTGCCATCTCTCTTTTATCTCTTTTGGAAGACGAAGGATTTGATGCCATCTCTCTTTTATCTCTTTTGGAAGACGAAGGATTTGATAGCGAAAGCGAAGATGACTGCAAACAAGAAGCAGAAGGCAAACACCATGAAAACTGCAACTCCGAGGAATTCATGTTTGTAACCAAATACGTCGTTGACTAACTCTTTGATTGGCAAAGAGGTGACTCCGTCTGATAGCTTGACGGGTTTGGTTAAGTCGCCGTACTGGGATACGACTAGCCCGTAAAGAGTCCATGCTATTGGGTTTGCCCAATAATACCATCTCCACCAAATGGGGATTCTCTGCAAGATTATAACGACTTTCAACTATCTAATCGCTTCGAATAAATTTACACAGATCATAAAGCATGAGAATAAGGGGTTTTATTACTAAACACTTATTGAGTAACTAAACACTTGTTGCCTTTTACCATGTAAGAAACAAAGATATTGGTCCTTACCAACAATCCTTCTTTGCCATTTTGATTAGTGTCTTACCAACTTAGGTCCGTTTACCAAACACTTATCTGCAATAGTCACCATCATCACTTACCTTATTTGGTAACATTTTCAGCCATCAAAATGGATTGTTGATAAGTTCCTCTTACCTGGCAAGTGCTAATCGGATAAGAGTTCCTTAACTTGCTAGGTAAGATTCTTGGTCCTTGTTATGCCTCTTACCAAGTAAGATTCCCGGTCCTTGCAATGCTCACCCTGTAAGCGCTTATCCTATAAGCCTTTGGTAAATGATTACGGGGTAAGCATGACAAGGACTGAGAATCTTATTTGTAAGAGGCATAGCAAGGACCAAAAATCTATTGCCCCTTATACTATAATGCTATGTTCATGACAAAGAATCTTACGTGGTAAAATAAGTGAGGGTGATGATATTTACCTAGTGAGCGTTTATCCCGTTTGTGTTTGTAAACGGCCCCTAAGGGTACTATATGCTAATAAGAATATTGTTTAACTTAACCCGTCACATTTAAACTTCAATATATATCATGTTGGGTGAAAGTTATTTGTCATTATTTGCAATTAACTTCAAGTTTTACAAAAATAGCCTCGAGAACTGTTATATTTTGAGTTGTGATATGTGGTTTTGAACTGAAAAGAAAGGCAGGTGAGTAAGTAAAGGGAGAGGTTGAATAATTATACCTTATGAGGGATCATGAATCCACTGAAGAGGTTCCATAGCATGTAAAAAGGAGCAGCAATAATGGCAGCCACATTGTGATTGGGTGTCATAGCAGTTGTCATCATTCCATAGAAGGTGAAGTATAGCATGGTCAAGTACATAAAGTATATGTACCATATAAATTTCCATGTGCTCCATTCAAATGCAGCTAGCGAGTAGAATATGGTACTGTAAATAAGTGCTTGTGCCAACACATATGGAAACTCAATTGCTCCCTACAAACACACAACAAAACAATAAGTATTTATTGTATTTCTCACTCCTCACATAATTTGTATTTAACAACCCATACCATGGAAAATTTTTCACAATTAGACTACAACAAAAATCGGCTTTAAAAGATATATGTCTAAGAGTGTGTTTGTCAAACTGCTTTATAGGACTTAAGTTATAAGACTAAAGAATTGTACTACGTCCTTATATATCTAGGTTACAATAAGTTGATATGATGTTCTTGGACGCCCTAACATGTATTTAGAAAGCTTTTTTAATAAAATGTTCTATTATTTTTGTATGATATTATTTGAAAAAATATCTTGTAAATACTAATGTCCTATAAAAGCATGTGTTTAAAGGACACTAAAAGCTAATATGATACTTTATTTCAAAAGTGTCATAAAAAACATTTAGAAGTTCTAACATGTTTTTAAAAGCACCTATAAGTATTTTTAAATGAAATTATTTGGAAAAATGTCTTAAAAAAGAAAGTGTTTGGTTATATAAACTCAAGTACCATAAAGTAGTCTATTCAAACTTTTAAGACATATTTGACGTCCTATGAACCAATTTTGTTGTAGTGTGAAAGACCAAAGTGCAGGAACCCTCACCTGAGCAAAGGCGAACGGTAGAGCTGAATACATACCGGCAGCCCTCTCTCTATATGAAACAAATCTTTCGACAGAAACAACAGGTTGGACAGCAGTGGCATTGGTAATTCCTATAAATAGTACGGCTAAATACATGGATCCCATGGCATTAAACAAATCCTGCTGGCTTTCCCTAAAATTGAAAAAGAAAGGGAGTTAACCAGAGGAAACCATAACAAACCAAACCAAAGATAATGGACCCAATATATCCCACCTGAGGTGGGTTTGGGGAGGATAAGATGTAAGCAGACGTGACTTCTACCCCAAAAAGTAGCGCGACTGTTTTCATGAAGAACCTAGATTGTGAAAAGTGTAGAAACATGATATAAGCATTCGATACGCACTGTTTTGAACCAAATCTCCAGCATATTGTTCCAAGCATCAGTGAAATGATACAAGTGTAGAAAAACCGAACTGCAGTATATTGTGGATTTCGCCAATATGAAAGGTATTGCTTCCAAAGACAAGTGGCAAACTGATCTGCGTATGATCGCGAGTACTTGGTTGGAAAATGCAATTCTTTTGAATCATTTCTTGGTTTCTTTAGTCTTTCGACCAAATCTCTGTTGCGTCTGAGACAGAATACATGGAAGGCATAAGAATGAAGAACAGAGAATAACAATGAAAGAAAAGAATGTAAAGAGGAAAACAGCACATACTGAAATAATTTGGACCGTCTATAGACTTCAGCAAAGTCTACACCTAAACCGGTTTCTTCTGCTGGTGAAGTAACCTCTAGCATCCATGTTGCAGGATTATATCCAGATTTTATCTTCCGAACTCCTTCAATAGCCTACATAGCATATCTACCCGGTTGAATTTATGAAACCCAATTAGAAAGTACCCTCCCTCCGTCCCAAAATAATAGTCCACGTTTCTAATTTAGTTTGTTCAAGAATAAGTTGTCCACTTTCAAAAGCAAGTGCTTTTTTTTCCGGTTACCCCCCTTAATTATGAGATGGAGGAATTCATTACTCGATCTATTATTAGGGTGGAATTGTCATTTAGTTGATTAAAAAGTGTTATAATTACATATTTATAAAAATGTGTGCCTTTCTCATTGTGGACATCTATTTTGGGAAGGAGGGGAGTACATCTCAATAGCCATACAGGCAAACCAAACCTCAAAATACTCGACAAGTTTGCATGATCTGGCGCCAAGTGGACCTGCGTAAATGAGTTGCCCTCCTCGCTTCATAAATAGGAGCTGCATTTCAGAATCAATTTGCATTAACAATGCATCGTTGAGATAGTTGTAAAACATATGTAATGTGAAGGAAAATAAGGTTTTTCTTATCAGTACAGCAAGTTCCAGGAAATAAGCCAAACTAAACCAAAAGACCCCAGTATATCGCACCCAGAGGTGGATGTAGAGGTGGAGGTGGAGGTGTACGCAGAAAAGGCCTCTACCTTGAAGAGGAGAGGTTGTTTCTCTGAAGACTCCCGACTAGTGAAAAGGAGAAATACAAATATGCTAAAATTTGAAGAGATAGATATGAGTAAGCAATACAATTCAAATAGAAAGACAGATATGTAAATTTGAGAAACTAGACATGAGGAATCAATGGCAATATAAATAGAAACAGGTACAGGAAAGACATATCCCTATCCTCTATCAAGGTCTAGAAACTACACAAGTTTCAGGGAATAACCTCATCAAAGGCTTCGAAGATGTCGATGCTGGGTTGATGTATCGTGCAGACAATTGTCCTCCCGGTGTTTACGATGTTCCTCACAGTTCTCATCACTATAGCTGCAGATCTTGCATCCAGTCCTGAAGTGGGTTCATCCATAAATACAATAGAAGGGTTCGCAACTAATTCAACGGCTATAGTCAGACGCTTTCTTTGCTCGGTTGACAAGCCATCAACACCGGGCAGACCAACCAAGGCACCTTTGAGTGGAATGAGTTCAACGAGTTCCATCACCTCCTCAACGAAAATCTAAGAGAGAACAAGAAGGCTGGCTTTACAAGACATGCTCTTAAAAAAGAAGAGGCAGATCCGTCATAGAGGAAAGTTCATTTAGGAATCATGAGAACCAACTATTCATGATGAATATCATGCATTTTCATCCATGATATTTATCATAAATATTCATGATATTCATCATGAATAGTTGGTTCTCACAGTTCTCAAATGAACCTGCCCCATCCATCATATTAATAAAAGATGTACCTTCTGTGTTTTGCAGTCAACATCTGAAGGTAAACGAAGCCAAGCAGAGAAGAGAAGTGACTCTAGAACAGTCAAACAAGGCGAATGGATGTCATTCTGCTCACAGTAACCAGATATTCTAGCAAAAGTTTCTTGGGACTTCAGGTAGCCGGAAATATGGATGCTTCCCTCTATTACTCCACCAGTTTTTCTTCCGGCTAAAACATCCATTAGGGTGGTCTTACCAGCACCACTTACCCCCACCAATGCGGTAAGCACACCGGGCCTAAATGCACCAGTAACATCCACCAACAACTGCAATCTATCTTCTGCAACCCCTTGCTGCTTCAATTCCTAAATAAGTAATCAGATATGATGTTACCAGCTATCCCAGAAGAAGTTTTTCATTGAAAAAGAACACATGAATTTACTGACCGGAGGCACATCAACATAGTAATTGATATTGCTGAATGCCATGGAAAGTGGCTGAAAAGGTAGAACCATGCCTCTTTGATATATATTCTTACCTGTCAAACGACGATATACAGTTTTAATTAATCAGCTTATATGTAGAGATAGAGAAAAAAACCGACATAATGAAGCAATCCTTACCAGTGAAAGAACCTGAATGCTCCAAAAACTCTCTGAGCTGAATGACAACACTTTCACTGTTCTTTTTTCCATCTTTGTCCTTGAGTTCTTCTTTTGAAACAACAGCTTGGCTCCTTCCCAAGGCTACAAGTTTGACGAAAGCTATTAGAATCTCTCTTCTGAGCAAAGTGTATTCCTCAATGAAAAAGAAGTTTAAGCAAGAGAAAAGAAAATCACATGCAAAGCAGAGATGCCTTACGGTTAAGGTAAGATAAGAAGAAGGTGAAAAGGGCATTGAATAAAATTGTATATCCAAGCAAGGCTGCAAGACCGATCCAGTACCAATAAGTCTGAGGGAAGATACTGCGTGCTTTCAGCACCATCTCACCTAACGTCTTTGTTGATTGGTTCCCTCTCTGCATGAAAAAAACCAAAAGTATGACTCCAGATATATTAAATCTGTAAGAGTATCTCCGAGTTGGCAGCATAAGGCTAGATGTTTGATATGGCAGAATGATCTGAAGAAGTCAAACGTATGGAAGTGTAACCCCAATGCATGTTAGGCATTAACTTCTTTTCATAATAAACATTCAACCTCCCTTCCATCCGGGACCCACCCTCCGGTGGGATATACTCTGCTCGTTTCTTTACATGCAATTCAGTCTTCAGTATCCATTGATACTCATTTTAAATACGTTGGTGAACATGTAAATTATACATCTAAGAGAATGCAATGGGCTCGTATGTGTAGTGGTAGTAGCTTTTGATCTCCTATAGACTGAATTATTCGTAGGAAAAATTGTATCAAAAGTTGAAAACATGGCATGCATGATGCTATAAAAATTACACCCCTGTTGGCTGTAGTTTTAACTTGTGTATGTGAAGAAAAAAAACAGGATCTTTCTTGAGAGTACCGTTGAACTTTTTGAGACAAACAATGGCTTTTTTATGACCCTGATGATGAGGAAGGATAATGAGATCATATAATGATTGAGCCGGAGACAGATTACTTTGTAATGGAAAGAGAAAATAGTCTATTAACGTTAAATATGTAGTCTATAGTTTATTTTGGAAGAGAGATTATTACTTTATCCCAAGCATGCCCAAGAAACTCATTCACAGATGCTGCATCTTGAGCATACATCAAAGGTGAAATCCAGAAACCCCAAATCCACCAACTCGGTATACTATCTGTTGCAAGGCAGTAAGCCAAAAAGGTTAAAAGAACGTACAGCATAATTGAAATCACAAGAAAATACAAATATACCTTTTGAAATTACATATCCACCAAGAGCCATGACAATCAACAATGCAAAAGAGCCAAAGGTATTGGCCACGATCATATTACGTCCCAAGGATCCCATCAAGCGGAACAGACCAATAGACGCTTGGTGGAGGAAGAAATATAGCAGAAATTGCTTAAAGAACCTGAAGATTTATAAAAAAAATCAACCTTTTATAATCTGTTTGGCTTTGGCTTACGTAGTTTATGTGGAGCAACATGCAGTATAAAGTCTACCTGACGATATTTGGATCAAGTCCAACAACGTAGTATGTAACTGCCACCCAGATACCAGACTCTATGAGGGAAGTTGGGATACTCAAGATCCAAGAAGGAAGCGTATAAACCCAAGAAGGATAGAAGTGCAAGTCCCTATGCTTGTAGATCACTGGAAGCTTTGCAACTAGCATGGAGACTTCTGTGAAGCCATTAAAAAGAAGAATAACCATAGAAAAATAGAGTTCCCCAAGATATAGGCCTCCATCATCAACTGTTCTATGATGCAGAGTTGTCCGGAAGAAAACACTCATTGTAATGATTGCAACAAATAGAAGCTGGAAAACAACAGATGGTGCTTAGTATCAACATAAGAAGAATAATATGCTTTACAAGAGTTCAGTTCTAATATCTGTCAACTAATTTACAGTGACAACCAAAAGGTGACGTTACCTGAATGAATTTAAAAACATATATAAATGAGTTCCGTTGCATCAGTAGCAATTGCCAATTAAAACTTGTCTTAAGAAGTTCCCTTCTCTTGACACCATAATGAGAAGTTGACAAGGCTGCCGGATGATTGTATTGCCTATCAAATGGAACACCTAGCTCCTCGACTAAATTCTTCCCCACTCGGTATGAACTAAATGCTTCAGCAAACTTTTTGACGGGTATGTAGGAATAAGGTCGATCTGGAACAGACCAATACTGTTCTTGATCCTTCTCGGAAACAACCTGTGTCATATAACTTGTGTAACTCAATAAAATAGAACTATGAATAAGTCATTCACTTCATAACCCTGCAACAACTTACCTCTTGAAGGAAATCTGCAACATTCTTCCTCTGGGGGCACTGAAATCCCATAAATGCAAAGAAATCAAGAGCAGTATTTCGTGGCCCTTGGTATACTATATGGCCCTCACATATGAGTATGATATCATCAAACAAATCATAAGTCTCTGGAGCAGGTTGAAGAAGAGAAATCACTGTGGTCCCGTCAAGTGCACGAGTTGAATGCCTGAGGTACTTAATTATTTGGTATGTGGTTGAGCTATCAAGACCATTTGATATTTCATCCATTATAAGAACTCTAGATGGACCCACCAATAATTCACCTGGCAGTCAGTCTACAATGTTAATTCCATATAAATCCAATACAAATCTCAACTTCATGACTTCTCATATATAATGATCAAAAAGTTGTAAATGATGTACCTGTTGTAAGCCGTTTCTTTTGCCCCCCAGAGATCCCCCTGAGCATTTGGTCTCCAACCATGGTGTTTGCACATACATCCAATCCTAAAATCTTTGTCAAATTAAATTTTAGTACTTCAGAAAATATTGAAGATCTAGCAAAGGAATATCAATTACAGAATGACATCACTGTTATTTAGATTTACCTTACACAGCTGAATCTTACATGCAAATGACTGTATCCATTTTTAACTAAGCTTATAATATGTACTCCCTGCTGCATTTCCACCTTAGTTAACTCCTTAATTTAACAAGTTCTTATATCCCTTTTTGCCTTAGTGATTTACAAACTTAACTCACCCCATGTTTGCTCTTGTATCATTCAATTTTTTGTGTGGAATCCAATTAACAAACTCTTCATTGGCAGCCCAATGGGTGAGCCTTGGAGCAACATGTAAGAGTACTCCTTTATGATAAGACAAAGTTCATGGTTCGAGTCACGGAAGCAGCCTCTTTGCAAAAGAATCTAGAGTAAGGCCGCATACAAAGACTTCCTTCCTCAACCATTCAAAAGCCAACGAGCCTTAGTGCACCAGGTTGCCCTTCTATTTCAAGTGGCACATCCCACAAAGGCCACTCTGTCATATCTGAAAACTCAAATTAGGTCACCCTCTTGCCAAGAACATTCTAATGGCTCATAAGCTGCACATTTTTTACAGGCAGTTGCCAGTTCATGCAAACTGAAAGAAATCTGTCAACTACTCGTGATTGTATGCAGATCAAAATGCAGGGTGTATATTATTAAGATGAAAAATCAAATAAAGCAACAGCATCATGGATGCCAATATCATCGATCCTAGGTGAAAAATCTAGAGATTGAGAGATTATATGGTTGGTGAACATACCATTTACATTTGTTGGGATCAAATAGGTCGTGCAAAAAAATATCCTATGTGAGGCCAACATAGGCTAAATGAGGGTAACTAAGTATAGTTGCAGAGATATCCAAAAGACAATCAACATGACTTGGAGAAATTAGAGGAACAAACTTTGTAGTTCGAGGAAAGTAGTAGAAAATTCAAGATAGGAACCATATAAAGTTAACTTGTGTGTCAAATAATCTCCCCTTTCCTGAAGTACATAAACATATGAACTAAAAATAAGACCATCCCTGGTACGCAATGGAAGTAGAATATAGCAAATACCTTTAAAATGTACTCCACAACAAGAGCTGTTTCATGCCCCCCTAAGGCCAAAGCCTATAAAAGACAAATAGTGATTTGTTAAACTGCAATAAATTCAAATAATGATGGCAGACGAACCCTTCAACTTGGCGACTGAAGAAGGGGCCGTCATGAAAAAAGAAGATCAAAGCATTACCGAATGTCTAATACCTTCATAAAAATATCCAGATCTTCATCAGGTCTTATTCCAGCAATCTTTTCTCTTCTTGTGAGTTCCATAATCATATCTATCATGGAGACCTATCATTCAGCATTTGTGCACCCACAGAAACATAGATATAACATGTCAAACAAACAGAAGCTCCAAGAGGTTACCATATTTAAATCCGACACCTTGACAGCGTGCAGATAAGTCGAGTGTTTCACGAACTGTCATCTCTGCAATATGCCAATCTTGTTGACTGACATAAGCTGATGTTCTCTGAGGAACAAATTCCTTCAGACTATGCCCGTTGTAGGTTATTTTTCCTGACGTCTGAGAGATAATCAAGTTGCACATGGAGGGATTTAGTAAATAAAAGAAAGAGAAAATACTTAATTGCCAATAGAATGCCTGTTAGTAGGACGAATAGTAGTGACAGTGCATTATCACAGACAAGTTTTATACCTGCAAATGATGTCCAAGACGTCCAGCCAGGGCCAACATCAGAGTTGTCTTTCCGGAGCTCGGAGGACCAAGAAGCAGCGTCATTCTGCATATATAATGTCATCCATCATTAATTACACGATCGCGCTTTTACGGTCAAAATAATAGTTGGCCTTGATGTTGCACCTTGAAGGTCTAATTATCCCACTAACATTATCCAAAATTGTCAGTTTTCTCCGCTTCCCCTTGTATATCCTCAATTGCCTTAAGAAACCCTGTTTGCAATTTTGAGAATGGTAAGCAATAAGCATCTACAAGTGTTTTTTACTTTTTACAAGTGTTTGTTACTTTTTAGATATAAATTCTTATCAAATTCAGATCCTAAAAGATGGTTTTGCCTGCAAATGACATACCTCGGTCATGTTAACAATGAAATTGGTAATGGTTGGCAATGCTCTACTACCGACATGAACATAAGTTTCTACATTCAAATTCTGAAATCTGACTTCAATCTTTGGAAATTCCAAATCCACCCTGCAATTTGAACATAAGAAATGGAGGAAAACAAACTTTAAAAAGGGGGTACAAGGATGGTTCTTGGATTCTATCTTGAAATAAAAAGGAAAGCTCCTCAAAATAATTTGACTTACATATATCAATGACCTCATCGTTTAAATTTAATGACCTGACTATTTTTAGTAACAGCGTAATCAGTAATGATTCTGAACGTTATGAAAGCTATGATGGGAAACCAATGATAAAGAATAGTTCAGTTGACCATCATCGATATTCTTCAAGTAACCAACATTATAATTCCGTTCTTGGGTTAATTTTGAAGGGAGTAAACATCTGAATTCAAGCCAGATTAGTAACACTAACCTACTCTTGATATTCACAAGAGATATAAAATCAACATTAGTACAATGACCTAGCAAACTGAGTAAAATGAATTTGCTGCTGTCTTGCAAGGATATATGTCCATGGTACGAATATGGAGATTCCAAGTAGTCTGAGGATACGATTATATGTGATTTTTGTGCATATGGGTGTGTGTGTGTGTGTATATATATATATATATATATATCTCTAAAACCACACTGATAATTAAAAGAAAGAAGCTATGTCATGAGTCCAAACTATATAAAATATTAATTTGGTGCACCTCCACCTCTTTATTTCTCTCTTACAGCCAAAAGATTTTTAAGTTCTAAGATTTTTAGCTTTTGTCTAAAATTTTATAAAGGTACGGACTTTTCTGTTGATACCTGGAAATGAAGATTCTTCAAAAAACACTATCCAATTAAATAACATCAGAAAATCCAAGTTAATGCGATTTTCATGTGTGCTTGTACGAATTGGTGGATTAAGAATGTAAGCTAGCATTTAACAAAAATAAGCTCGGTAGGTTGCAAGTGTTTTTGCAGTATCGTGTTCGAGCTCTTTGCTTTCTCTGCACCGAACGTCCTAAACTAAAGCAATAAGCAAACTAATAGACAAACAAAAGCATCAAAAAAAGGTGGCAGAAAAAATTTAAAATCAAAATTAAAATGGAAAAAATCTATTACGCATCAAATCTCCGTCGCATTCGATCGAAGAACCGCTTCCAGTCCTCTTCAGCAGAATTCAACAACCGATCTAACACAAGCTTCAGTTCCTCGACTTCAAGCTTATTAACATCAACTTCCTTGGAATCTCCAACGATATTCGTAAATATACCTTTCCGAACTCGATTATAAGTCGGCAACCTCTCGATAGCCGCCCACCGCAACGCCTCCTCATCGTCTCCGTCTTCCCGAAATGACGAAGATCTCACTGACAGATTCTCAGCCGAATTCCACATTGTTAACAAGACAAGTTGAAATTCAAGTTAAAAACCCTAGATTTGAAGGGAAACCTTATCTGGTACATAAGGTCAGAGAGAAAAGAAGCTTGTAATTGTACTCTGAAATATGTAGATACATTTACGTATGGAGTGGTGGTTGAGCTCGGCATTAATGGCGGGCTTTCTCTCTCTCTCAGCTTTTTTGAGAAAAACGTTATTTTTAGACTTGAAAGACTCATAAGTCATAACCCCTTTCTTTCCCCCCAACCATAAATTTTCCCCTCACATTTGCTTTTTTATTACTTATTTATTTGTTTAAGGAAAAATATTAAACTCTTATTAAGATGATATGCAGTAGAGAAACAAGGTTTATTTTGTAAACCATGTTATTTGTAAAAATTATATAAATTTTATTTAATTAATTATAATTTATTATTTTTTTGTAATTATAAGAGGTTGATTAAACATTTTTATTATGAATGGTATTAATCATGGATATTATCATCTTAATTATATTAATTTTAGAAAAATATATTAAACAGTTTCATTAAAATTTCATAATTATTATATGAAATAATTTCATAATCATATATGAAACAACTTCATCAAAAAAAAGTATTATACGAAACAATTTCATAAGATTAAACAATTCCATGAAGAAAAAAAATTCATAAGATTAAACAATGAAATTGACGGAAGAGCATGGTTTGCATGATATATGTGTGTGTGTGTGTGTGAGAGAGAGAGAGAGAGAGAGATTTAAAATACAAATTATGTCATTCATATAAACCATATAAATCAATCAATTAAAATATTTATGAAAATGATAAAGTTCGTTTATTGTGATCTGAATATTTATGGAAGATGATTAGAGTTCGATCAACATATGTCCCCAACATTCACATTCAATATGAATACCGAATGTCATTCAGTATGAACAACAAATGTGAAGTTCATCAACTATTCATGACGAATGATACAACATTCATGATCTATGTTAAATTGATTCATTATTCATGATTAATAACTCGTGGATGCAGGGGACACGAGTCACCCTCTTCTTTGTGTGTGTGTGTGTATATATGTAGAGAGATAGATGAAGGATCATGTGAGAAGAGAAGTTATAGTGATAAGCGTAAGAAGAGATTTGAACCATTGATCACTTTTAATCTCATGTCCACTCATGAATTGCGTTTTAGAAGAAAATTGATCTGATACATCTCAGTGTACCTCATTAATGTTGACATTCAATTATGATTGATCCAAAGCATTATATACAAATCAATAATGCATACAAGATTTATAACATTTCTATTTTATTTCTTTTGTAAATAATACGAATTCAAGTTTTTAAGATTTTTGAAAACTCATATTACTCTTCTCGGAAATAAACCGATCGGATTTGAAAATCCACATATTTACCTTAATTTAAATTTTCAACTAAAACAAGTTATATAAAACACAAATATTTTATTCTCGTTAATTTAATACCCATACTGATATTATTATTTCAATCTTTTCTTAGAGTGATTTTCAAAATTTCATCACGAATATATTCATACAGTATTTTACTATATCATAAAATATCTGTAATTTATTAATATGTTTAAACTTTTTAAAACCAATTTATAACTAATTGATAAAAATGTTCAATTGTATGATAAACATTAAATTATACAGATAGTACATAAAACTGATAGCCAAAAAAAGACTGTTTACTTGTTTCAACGCCAAAAAACAATCAAGAAATGTTGTCACTATTTAATTATTAACCAATTATTTAAAGACACTTTAATTTATAAATCAAAGTAAGGGGGTCGTTTACCAAATGCTACCCGGGTAAGTGTTTACCAAATCAAATTACATTACCGGATGAATATGGTAAGGACCAAGAATCTTATTCGGTAAGAGCGAGACAAAGACCAACCCGGTAAGTAAGGGCAACGACTATTACCACGGTAAGTGCTTATAGGGTAAATTGTTGCATACAATGTCGTTTTGATGGACTAAAATTTTACCCGGTAAGTAAATAATAGTGTTAGTTTTGCCGCTAAGCACTTACCGAGTAAGTGTTAGTAAACGACCCCTAAAACAAGTCATCACAACAACAATGTTTTTTAATAATTTTATATTTAGAAAAATTTGTGTATTATGTTTATATTTGAAGAGGTGAAATTAATGTGTTGGAAAAGACAGAAATTGTGGGTCAGTTTAAAAGGGAAAGATTGTTATACTTTAACAAATGTGATTTTGATGATACTCATGACTCGTAGCTGCCATGTGAGAACGTATTGATTACGTGTGGTTACAGATATGTGCACTGCATGTGGGTGTTTCATGTTACGGGATCTAAATTATAACAGTTGGGAAGATACATTTTAATTACTGATCGATGAATGTTGAAAAATACAACCCTTATTTTTATAGTTAAAATTCTTATATCATAAGTTTGACTTTAGTTGTTAAATTGTTAAAATTAAAAGAAATTAAATTATCAAATATTAATTTGAAAAAAAAAATTATAGGATGACAACTAGAAACATGTAACATATATCTAATAAGATTATATTATTAAACTATCTGTCCGATTGGTTTGAGTTTAAGCTCCAAAGGTCAAAAGTGCCTGAAGGTCCCATATTCAAATCCAATGAGAAATAAAATTCCTCTTGGAGACGACTTAGAAGTCGTCAAGGAAGTCAGGTATGCTATTTAGTGTGAGCTCAAACTTGCCAAATAGTCACCAAGACAAACAATATCATAAGGAACATAAAGGGTGACAAGCTAAAATAATACAGATTAATTGATATCAGTATAATTCAACAACTAGTTCAGTTCTCAAAATGTATCGAAATTTTTATGGGAAATGTTCCAAGCATAATCAGTTAAACACAAACGTTATGTGATTTCAAAAAAAAAAAAATGGGATACATATACTCATACGTGTATGTTTTCGGTATTTTGTTAAGTTGGTATGTGCATGCTACTTGTGCAACAATATATACGTCTTAAAGATTTAACGCATTCCATACGTATTACAGTGTTTTATAAAGAAAATTTGTTAGGTACCCGGAGCCATGTGACTGGATACTGGCGGTGAAAAGTTGGCTGTGAATATGCACAACATAGAATCCGTGCACATATCCCAAGGTTACCTTTGTACTTGGTATGAACAAATATCATTAATGCATATTGAAAATCATCATATTTTGTTAGGAATCGAGTTGGACAGATCGACCCCATTTCGCTTTATCTGTTAATTTAGGGTTGATAGGTCACTCTCATATTTATCTTTGGTCCTATCTCTCGTTATAGACTTCTTTAACGATATGATATGAACCAAATATGCCAATTCGACCAGGTTTTTACAGACAGATCATGTTAAGCATCAGTATAGGTGTACTACAGTATCCCTCAATAATTTTTTGGCAAAAAAGTGGATCGATTTGGTTGGTAAATCAACTATTAGACAAATAGCATTAGAACCCTTGTTAGTGCTCGAAATTTTGGTGACGGTTTTATTATGATGTGTTTCTGGTTTTTCTTCAAAAAAAAAAAAAAATACTGGTGGCGTGGATGACAAGTTGTCAATTTATATAACAATTTTTAATTACGGTAAAAATATCATATCATAATCAACCAGTGTCATATAGGCTGAAAATATGTTTATCAGATAAAATAGACAAGAAATAAAAAAAATGAATACATATTATATTAATTTAAGGAAACCAAATCATTTTCCTTGAATTCAGTAAAACGATATTTATATTACCGAAGCAGTTACATCTAAACTCCAGTTCTCGTAGAAATAATTCACGTACTTTTTAAAACTCGTTTAGGGTGTGTTTCGTACACTGAACAAAACAAAACAAAACAAGAAACATTGTTTCACGTTTAACATGACTTTTATGTGGAACAGACAAGAACATAGTTGAACAGAGCTCTAACCAGTTCTGTTATATATGTCTTGTCTGAGTACCAAATACACCCTCAATTATAAGTGTTTACAACATTTTGATGTAAATTTTATTTGAAATTTAGGGAAAATTGTATAAAAAATGGAACCAACTTTCACCCGATTCATATTTTACGGAACCAACTTTTAAAATTATCATTTATGGGTCTCTATCAAACTTTTTGTTTATTTAAGGGTTTAGTTGACATGTTGACCTGTTAATGTTTACATCATTCAGATCTTTTGCCAAAAAATTAATATGACGTGGAATAATAGTTTTAAAATAAAAAATTAATATGACGTGAAATATCTTAATTGGCAAAAGATCTTGATGATGTCAGCATTAACAGGTCAACATGTCAACCAGACCCTTAAATAAATAAAAAAGTTTGATAGAGACCCCTAAATGACAATTTTGAAAGTTGGTTTCTCAAAATAAAAATCAGATGAAAATTGATTCCATTTTAATGCAGTTTTTCTTAAAATTTACAAGTTATAACTTAATTATTAATCTTAAATTAAGACCGTTTGAAATGTGTCTGAAACAGATTAAATGCTTTAAGTTGTTTGGTATAAAATGTCAATAGTCAAAAAGTCAAAACACGAGTCTTTTAACTACTAAATCGGCCATTAATTATTCATTTATTATTGAACTAAATGTCCATTCATTGTGATATTAAAATAAAAAAAACAAATAAAAAAACAAATATTACAGATAAAATATATGTCTCTGGCTTGTAACTCAGTTGGTAAAGAGATGAGACGACTTTTTCCAAATACAAGACAAACATGGGTTCATCGTGTTGAGTGATCCAAAAAATGTCCCTTGATATTTGGTGTTTTTGGAGGCGGGTTTTGTGTGGGAATGGTTGTGGTTGCCGGTAATCAACTTTTGCCCAAATTATGGATAAAATTTATGACGATGGATGCAATGTACATGAAAATCTTTCATAGAAGTGAATCCTTATTTTTGCGTAACAAATTATACATCTTACTGATTTGACCCCTGAATTTATTTTATTTTCATACCATTTGCTGCTTCGTTATTCCCAAAGATTAGCAGAATTGAAATCGATTTAAGAAAACCGCATA